GTTGGGATGAACCTCCGAGGAACTGTCCATGAGTGGATCTTCAAGGCGTGTTCCGATAGAAAAAACCCTGTTGTTAGGCAGGTTTCGAACCCGCAAAGTACAAGAGAAACAGATTTTGATTCTGTTGTGTTAACCACTTGGGCCAGGACGCTTGCTGGCCAACTTAAGTTTAGACGAACCTCTGAAATTGTCCATGTCGACAGGTTTCGAATCCGCACCACAAGAGAGCAGATTTCTAATCTGTTCTGGTGCCAAACGGTTAACTATGACTACTCGAGATAGGCCTTGAAAAATCCATCTATGAGTGAATGTTCAAGGTGTAGTAAAAGAAAAAAAATTGTTTGTCCTGTCACGTTTGGCTGCAAGACTGGTCAAGATAGAATCATTCGGTTACGAGTTTGACAGTAGAATCACATGGGATTAGCAGTCATTTACCAAAAATTCAATAAAAAGACTAGTTTGCGTTTAATTCGATGGCCACAACACATGGCAGGAATAAGCGAGTCGGGGGCTGGCGCCGGCGCCGTCACGATATGACACTGTAACTGCAGGAAAAAACGCTGGACAGCAGCGCTATACTATGGAACCTACAGGTCAACTACAGGTTGTGGATCGCATTAATCTCTTTAGGGGTGTACGGAGTCCTCAACTTGTGACTACCATTTTTGGCCCATGTCACGGGTGGTAACAGTTCCATGGCCGGCGCTAGTACTAGTGTCTGTCTTCCCATCCTTGACGCATTGATGGCTCGTGATCAAACCAATGGCTCCAAAGAAAGATTGAGTGTCTTGAATTCCTCAATGGATACCTGCACAATCAGTTACCAACACTAGGGGATGATGCTTTCGGGTCCGCCATTAGACCTGTTTTTTAATATCACATTGGAGCCCCTAGCGCCGTTCGTTCTTCGTCCTGTTGCCGCAACGGTTTATATAGACAAAACGAGAGATCCACATTGAGGTCTCCAGATCTCCGACTAACTCTGCTCAGAAAGATGATTACCATTTTGCCTTTTGCACCTCATCAGAGCAACGTGTTGCAGAAGTTCGCGGAATACCATCGAGGACATCTATTATGAGGAAGAATATATGATTAGATTTCGTGTGCGTGATGTTATTGATTAATGAAGTTTTGAAGCGCGGAAGATGAGATCAGTTTGAACTCGTTCTGCATTACCAAGATACACAAATAATTTAGACGGATTTTCTAAGAGTGTAGTGACTTCAGCATTTGTTCGGCTTCTTTGTATCTTTTTTGAGTCCCCTCGATGACAGTATCATCAATTCCCCATCCCTCGCCGTTTCCGTTTGGTCCACTCTCTAATCCTTTTCTGTATCCAGCAGCAGTCAATGCATTTCTGACATACTGCTTGTCAAAGCTTGGCTGTCCTTTGCCAGGTTCATACTGGTCTCGGGGCCAGTATCGCGACGAATCGGGCGTAAGGACTTCATCCACAAGGATGAGCTCGTCTTTCCCAACAGAAGTAGAGGGAACAAGACCGAATTCAAACTTCGTGTCTGCGAGAATAAGTCCGCATGATTCTGCATATTCAGCAGCAGCCGTATATAGCTGCAAAGACGCAGCCTGGATACGGTCGAATAGATCTTGACCGATGAGTTGGGCAGCTGATAAAGTGGGCATGAGTGACTTTAAACAAGGTATAACAACAATATCACCTTGTTCAGGCGAGATATTCTCGTCATGGGCGCCTTGCTCAGCCTTGGTGGACGGAGTGAAGATTGGTGTCGGGAACTTTTGGGATTCTTCCATCTTCTCCAGTATTGGGATACCACAGACAGTCTGCGACTTTTTGTACTCTGCCCAGGCTGATCCTGTTCACAAATTCATCTCGGCGGTTCCAGGAGGTTATCCGGATAACGAATCAGCTCACCAGTGATGTACCCCCTGACGATCGCTTCTATGGGCACTATTTTGGCCTTTCTTACAAGCATAGTGCGGCCCTCGAGTTGCTCGCGGTACTGCCGGACTTCATCCGGCATCTCATCGATATTGACGGTAACAAGGTGGTTAGGAATGATATGCTTCAGCTTCTCGAACCAGAACAGCGAGATGCTTGTGAGGAGTTTGCCCTTGTCTGGGATACCCTAGAAGCAAAGCACATGGAATCAGGCAGAAAAGAGTTCAGAGATCCACGGACACTGTTGAGGATGACATCGTACACAGATATCCGGTCGGTTGCGACAAACAATAGATGATCGGGCGACGAAGTTGCATAAACGTCGCGGACCTTTCCTCTAGAAAGAAGTTGAAGGTCTGGCAAGTTCGTTTGCAGCAGGGCTGCCATTGTGGGGTGAAGAAGAGATTAAATATGCTCCCGGAAGCTCCCTATGATGTCCGGCCGTCTAAAATGGTTCTCAAATAGGCACGAAGCGTCAAATAGGCAACGGTAATCACATGTCACGCAAACGTCACAGCAGTAGTGTGATAAGGTTCTGTCGCGCTTGGCGGATAAAATTCAAGTGAATGCACTAAGATAACGAGCTAACAGAAGTATGTTCTCAATATGTGCCCGCCAGGAATTTTTAACTATCTGCAGAACTGCAACATTAGAGAGAAGTCATTGCATCATCTATCAGAAATTTTGAGAATTCACCATTGAATCTTTAAATGTTTTGCGACTGATTGCTGCGACCCACGATCCACCAGCAAAAGTTGTCGAAAAATGGATGGAGCATTGACTTGTACAACTTCGCAAATTGTAACACCCGAGTCACCTGACGTCAAACGATCAGACACTGCAGGCAGTGAGGGAGATGACAAAAATTTACAAGGTCGCAAGTAGGCTGTCCTGGCATTCAAATGCGATGCCGATGAATCTTGCTTGCCTCAGTTGTGCAGGAGATAAGGCAGTGACTTGCGATGAGTCGCCGATGACCGCTCATGTAGGTAGTACATGTGTAGCATGAATTCACCATGTAGGAATCGCGATGCAATAGAATATATAGACCAAAAGCTCGAGGACAAAATATTCCTGGAAGAAAATCAGCGAGCGTTGTACAGAGGGAACAGCGACTTGCCCATTGGCAGTGGGAGGGTAACAGCACAAATCAGAGCACTAATGCTTCGGCAGTTCCAATAGCGAGATCAGGACAGTGGTGCTTCAAGCCCAGACGCAACCTGAAACTGCTGGACGCATCGTCAGTAAGGAAGGCTGTTGGAAGAAGTATGTATGACTCTAAGAGGTCCAACTTGTCCAAGGCAGAGACTTGACAGGTGCAACGCTGAGCCATCGCGTAGTGAACTGTTCTCAGACAGAGTCGTCCTCTTGCCAGAACTTTCATGCATGCGCAGGTGGTGTAGCCCCAGACGACAATTCCGATAAAATAAATGAATACTTAGAGATCAGTAATGATTAATCGGCCAACTTTAGGGAGGCTGCAGAAACTTTGACTGGAATTGGCGAGCGGAGTTGTGTGCACGGTCCACCCAGGGTCCAGAGCCACTTCGATTTCAAAGCTTGTGGACCTAACACGGAACCATTCACGAAACCACTGGCGTCCCGCAATGCAAAATTTGGCTCAGCTTCAACCACTCAAGCTAACGCAAGAGGACTTCTCGTAACCGAATTTCTTGAATTGCTGATCTTGAAGAACGACACGAGCGGCTTTGATACCACTTGACGCACCCATGGACCCCTTGCAAATTAGAGTCGCCTACGACGTATTGTTCCCCTCATGAGGGCACGCAAGACACTCGGTCGCACTTCAAGTTAGATCGGTCACAGCTTGACACTACCAACTGCGTCGGCAAAGGCAAGAACTGCATACCGCGACGGTGAAAAATGCCAATTTTTTCGTCAGCCATAGAGCAGGGGATCTTCATGTTTTATGCAGCTTGATGGCATTTTCTTCTTAGGTTGGATCATTCGGTTCGACATTCTTCGCGTCTTGAAGTGCGGAAATTTGTGGAGAATCCGAGACAGCTTACGGTGCATGTAGGGGGGCACTGAGCCGACTCATAGTCACTGGTGAGTGTCTTGTTCACTCCAACCATGTTTTGTTTCTGGGGCATATCAATGGCATTGGCTGCCACTTGTTAATGTTGATGGAGGCGATTGCGTCAGTTGAGACTTGGGGGGCGATCTTGATGCAGCCATAGTGACTATCTTGACTCATATCAATGCTTGACACATCTTGAGAGCTTGAGAGCACGCTGTTGAGTCGTGTTCATATTTCATGATGGTGGCTGGAAACTTGCCTGGCTCGTGCGCAAAGTAGCTTTGATGCCCCTTTTGAGGTCACGTAATGTGTCACACACTGTCACGCTGTCTTCGCTGAAGGCGAGTAACTCGGCATCAGGTTTTTTTTCTGGCATGTCGAGGGATACGATTGCTCAGGATGATTGATCAGCACATCACAGATATATCATGTCCTGTACAACAGAGAGCTCTCCATAAGAGAGTCCACGCACTTCTGCTTCGTATGTACTGACTCTTCTTTTCTAGTCAGGGACGCGTCTGGTTCGCGCAGCATTCTTATCATGCTCTAGGCAGCGCGTAAGACTGGGTTGAATATGTTAAAGTCCGTGGTGTATATCGTGGAGGTCCTGCAACGGCGATCCATAGCTTTGATGGAGCAACCTGATGCCCAATCATGGTCATGCTGTCCCTCCTGCGTCGTCTTATGCCTCTCGTTTAGTGCTATCGATGGCTATTCTGGATTGAGGTCGCCCATGAAGATGGGCTTAGAGAATTGGTTCCACGGAAGCAAATGTCGCACCAACACTTGCAAATTTGAAGATCCACACTAGTGTCAGGCTGGGACACGCGCCCACAAGGCATTCGGCACTAACCCAGCCCTGTCGGGATTGCGAGTTCGGAGTTGTAGAACCTAGACTAACGCCCACCTCAATTTATTTATTTTCGCTTTTCTTCCATCGAATTTCCGGTGCTATTTAAACCCCAAATGCCTTCACGCAGGACAAACGACATTCCTTTTCCCTCATTTTCTTTGGTGATAAGCCAGTATTCGACGAGCAACATGAAGTTGCCGAGCTACAGGACGTCGTATCTTCTTCGTTTCCACCCTTATCCGAGAGTCAAACCAAGCCAACATGAGATCATGGTGAGCGATGCCGTGAACATTTCTGCGCTATTTTTGACACTTCTTGTCGCGAAGCACGCTGTGAATGATAATCTCAGCAGCGACATTGTTGAAGACGACGACAGTGCTGGACCGGTGATTCTCAACTTTGTACGCGTTTTCTTTTTGTCATCTTGTAGCCTTATTCATTTTTCAAATGCAGCCTGACCTCCCTGAAGAGCAGCATCCGCAGGAAGCCATCGAAGTTGCCGAGAATGGCGCCCAACCTCACGTCAGGCATCCAAGCTTTGCAACTCTAATCATCGTACGTTTGCTTGGCAGCACCTGTTCGCTCTCACGCGTTATGTCTGCAGGACCTTGCGATCCTAGTTGCGAGGAAGCTATCTTTGAAAACCAAGTAGTTTGTCATAGCTGGACAAACTACTAATACCGCAACTCATCCTGTATCTCGCTCTCGCTTTTATTGTACCATATGACCGGTCCTTGAAACACAGAAATCTACTTTACATCAATCAGTCCCTCCTTTTCTGTCTATGCTATCATCTCACATATACGAATATCTGTGTTATACCATACCATCAATGCATCTAGTGGAAATTTTATTCCGAAGACTTTGCAGCATGTGTCAATGATCAGTGACCGAAAGTCACGCATGTTTACAAATTATTGTACAAACACCGAGCTCGCAAAAATTCTCGTGCACCTCTAAAGTTGTTTGCAACACATTGTAATACTGAATGGCGTGAAGACTGTCTTGTTGTCTGGAAATACAAGCCAAGATGTCTTGGAGGGTTAGGTGAAGGTTCCCGTCGTCATAGTATTCGACCCAAATGGTTCCCGGAGCGTGTTGTAACTTGTGACTTATGATGGAGTTGTAATATGTGCTTTAGAGTGAAACCGGGCCCGGCTTTATATTTACTGTTTCAGACTTTAACGTGGCCTTAATCAAGTGGGTGCACTGTGTGTTCTTTGTATGTAGATTACTCGAACGATCCAACCGTGACGTGTCATGACAGAATATACTCCCGATTCCTTCAAAATCCTGCTAGGAAAGCTCATCAAGACTCCCGAGTGTTTCACTCCGGAAGACCTTAAACTCGCACTTCATCACCTTTTTACCCCAAATGCTACCCTTCCCGCACAAATAGGCGCATTCCTCGCTGCCCTCCACATAGGAAAAGTGGAAAGACGCCCAGAATCCCTCGCTGCGGCTGCTGAAGTGCTAAGGGCGCGGGCATTACAAGCAGCCATCGAAGACGGAGACACAGATTTTGTTGTCGATATCGTTGGAACTGGAGGAGATGGTCATAACACGTTCAACGTTAGTACCACGGCAGCCGTCGTTGCCGCAGGCGCAGGTGCTCGAGTGATCAAGGTAAGATCATTCTGCATCTGCTGCAGTAATTTATCTGATAAATAAAACAACAAGCATGGGAGCAGGGCTTCCACATCGTCATCCGGATCGGCAGATCTTTTGCAAGCCCTTGACTGTTCATTTACTGCCCCTTCATCATCAGGTACTCCCTTTCCCATACCTAAAGTACCATTCACCTTCATCCTCGCGCCTCATTACCATCCCGCACTCGCTATGATTGCACCATACCGCAAATCCTTACCCTTCAGAACGCTTTTTAATGTCCTTGGACCACTTATAAACCCTGCACGTCCACGAGGAATGGTTTTGGGCGTGGCTGACCGCGAACTCGGTCCTACGTTCGCCCAGTCCCTCCGTGACGGCGGCGTTGAGCGCGCCCTCGTGGTATGTGGAGCCGAGGGACTTGATGAGATCAGCTGTGCCGGCGACACATACGGGTGGCAATTAGAGGATGGCAAAATTACGGAAATCAAATTGCACCCAGACCTTTTCGGACTAAGCATCCATACACTGTCATCCGTTGCTGGCGGGACACCGACGGAGAATGCAGGGACATTTAGGGCACTGCTCAACTCGGGTAATGACATACCGGAGTCGCTGATTCCCGTTTTGCACTTTGTATTGCTGAATGCATCGGCGCTTCTGGTTGTTGCAGGTTTAGCTTCGGACTTCAAAGAAGGGGTTGCGCTAGCGACGAATAGCATAACGTCTGGACGTGCATGGGATGCCCTTGTAGCCTTTCGGACTGCAAGTAGGGAGGCACTGAAGGAGTCAAACGGATCTCAAAACGGCAGAGCTTGATGCGATTACCGAAGTACTTTATTTGTCCAGCTTGCATACCTCGAACTTTTCAGTTATTCATTCCTACGAGTTATTGCCGTGTCTTGTTAAACAGGATTCTTGTACTGCCAACTATTTTTATACACAAAGTTGTAGCGCTCAAGATCGTCGTTCATCTTGCCCGCGTAAACAGGATCCGCGAGGTATCTCGGAGAAGTGACAAGCGATTCTGACTTGAACGGATCGCGATTGCCACGGAGAAAATAGTTCAGAAAAATCGGAAGCAGTAAATGATATTGAACTCGAAGCGGAGGCGGTGAGAAACTGTGCAGCACAACAAACCAGCGTCTACCATCCTGTCAAAGAACCTGACGTTGATCCAAATGGTGCGTCATATATGTATAATAGTAGTACATGGTAAGGTAGAATATTGATCGAGACAGAATGGAAAAATTGCTCCCCCACTGTCTGACGTGATGCGGACAAGCAATAATGCCAGCAGCAAAAACAGTCTTGAAGGGTTTGAATCAATTCCGATTGATGATCATGCGACCGTTAGCCCTAAACGGGGGTAAACTGAATAATCCGCATGCATCAGGGGGTTTTGCTAGATTCTGTACATGCACATCGCATGCCCATGACCCTGGCGTGAATCCTGAGTTTGAACTGGGGATTAATATTTTGATGAGCAGCAGCTATAAAGTGCGTGAGCCCAGAACTGGCCAACAACGGAACGAAAAAACACACCTGTGCTTTAGCTCGCAGTAACAGTCAACTCACCAAGCTGTGGATCCAACTTATGGCACTGACTTAGTGCGCGAGCGGCGAGCCATGCTCAGCGCAGAGACTACCAACACCATGACATGCACCTGGGTGGCGTGCGGGACATATTGCTCTGGATATGCCGCGGACGTCTAAGGTTGCACTTCGTCCAACGGTGTCCCTTCAAACTAGTACTGTTGTGATTGATGACGGAAGAGATTGTGATGTAGCAGCGCAGCGGTGTGGCGAAAGCATCGTAATGCAAGTGAAGGGTTTGGAGATGTTAGCGATGAAATCTTATATCAAAACACGCACCAGGCACAGAGTAGATTGCCGCATCCTTCAGATCTCGAGGTCCGAAAGAACACGTTGCTTATTCCATGATGCAGGCGACGAGCGAGGACATAGGGTGCAGTCAGAATAACAGTAGGTTTTGTACTTAGTTGAGAAATGTTCAACCGACCAGCCATCTCATGGCGTTGGAACTCGCATTTTGCCATGCATATCAGTGTCGAGGTTTGGAGGCCATTTTGAAAGATACCAAGTTGCCGAGCCGCGGCGGCGGCGTCGCACACCTACTCAAGGCACATTTTACCCAATTCCGGCTTGCCCTCCTCTTAAGTTTGGCCCGTGGTGAGATGGGCTTGCGTGAATAACTTGCAAACTCACTTATTTATGCACGCATTTGAATAGTTCAAAGCCGTGATGATACATGATTGGGTAAATAGAGCGCGCTTACATTTAAGAAATAGTGATCTTCCACAGGCAGTTTCTGTTCACTTCTTGTCCTTTGGCATCTTCCCAATAGACCAACCAACTTTCATCATAGTCTCGATTCCAAGTTGACCCCGTTTCGGAGGCGAAGAGTTGGCTACAAGATCGGAATCCCACTCGACCATCCCCGGCTCAAGGATAGCAACGATAGTGCTGCCTCCGTACGCGAAGAATCCAAGTTCATCTCCACGCCGAACCTTGGAACCCGCCTGATGGAAGTGAGTTTGGCATGTTAGAGAACTATATCCCGGGGACTCACCGAAACGGTCCACTGGATGCTTCCAACGAGCAAGGCACCGACTGCAACAAATGCGATCTTTTTATTCGTCGCGTCATGGTTTAGAAGGAGAACTGATCTCTTATTGGCAGATAGCACATCAAGACCTTTCTCGTTGACTGCCTGCGGGTTGACTACAGAAGGTAAATTGCCATCCGTTGAGTGCTGCAGGTGGCGCCCCTTACCTGTAAAATACTGTCCAGGAATATCCCTTGGTTCACCAACGACAGTGGCATCCGCAAGCGAATGGAAGCGGTGATAATCTGACGGCGCAAGGCGGAATGATGCGAGAGAGCCACCTTCAAGCGCCCGGCAGAGTGGATCGGATTTGTCTAGTCCTAGAAGGGCAGGAACTGTGAACTCGTTCCCTTTAATCCAAAAAGTCTGCGCGTCGTGCACCGCAGGGTATACGACAAGCCGGGAGTCCGCGGCGCTGCAGAATTCATGATCAGGGTTCTGCACAGGGCGGGCATCAGGCTTGAGTTTCCGGTAGAAGAAGTGATTGAAATTCTTGTATGCTGGGCTTTCGGGGGGATATAGCAGCTCGCTTGTGTTGATGTTGTAGGTGTGTATGAATGACGGGATGTGACTTCTAGACTCGGGCGAGTCGTAGATCTGCCCCTCACGCTTGCTCTGCTCCATCAGGAGTGATTCAATGCGCTTGCTTCCTTCCAAGAGCTTGACCTGCTCCCTCCCATAAAATAAGATATGCATGCCCAAACGTGCATAGATCGGCATGCTTTCAAAGATTCGTTCATTGGTGCCTCTAATCGCGACGTAGTTGCCGACGTGATACTTTGCTGCAAGGGATTGCAGCTGAGGCACGAATTTGCTCAACCACAAGTGATGGGCAGGGCCGCCAGACGCAAAGTGATGTAAATGGCCATGAATGCCCTGGGTGACATCGTTGCGATTATCAGCATGTTGAGGACTGGAGCGCTCTACGGTCTCTTTGAGAGCCTCGGCAATCGTGCCATCCAACATCTCCATTCCTTGCATCCCTGCTTGGCCGGAACCCTCAACACCACCTGGTTTATTGAGCTCGGATTCGTTCAGCTGTGCCATTGTTGTGATAGAAGAATAGTAAGACAGAGGTTGAACAAAGTAGAAGTCAGGTGTCAAGATAATAGATTCGATTGATCAGGCTAGTTGATCTGGATGGAGGGGTTATTAATAGGACGTCAAGTTAAGCACTACGTACTACTCAGTTACTAGACATGCTCATAATGCATAATGCATGAAAAATTATAACAAATCAGGATCCAATCTTTTCGAGATGCCACAAAGTCATCCATTCATAGACATGAACTTGGTCAGTGATTCGTTTGTATTTTATTTATTTATGCATTATGAGCAAGTACTAGGCGCCGTCGCCGGCGATAACCTTACTTTATTTGCAATTGTTGTCACCATCTCGCGTGGATACCCATCGTTTTCCTGCTCGAAAGCATCTCATCTTGTGGTCCTGGTCGCAGCTTCACGGACCATAAGTCTAAATACCTGTCCTCTGCCAGATTCAAAGGGATTGTCGTTCAATCGATCTCATATTTCCGACAGTGGGTAGCGCGTACGCGTGAAGTTAACCGTCAAAGTATCAGTCATGGCACGGAACACTCCTACATATATTTGTTAGCTGGTGGAACACCCGCAGGGATTTGCCGGTGTTTGTCTGTGTTTGTGTGCGCGGAACACTCCGAAAATTGATGGCGGATCGTTAACGTTGATGTAACACTACGGAACAAGTGACATCACAGAATTTTCAACTCGTCAGAAGAAAGACATGATTGTTTGAATGATTTAGAAATTACAGGATAAATGGCTTGGATAATTATCGTGTATTTCGGAAGAGCAATGCTGAAAACAGTGAGAGAAACTCGTTCGGGATTTGCCGTTGTTTGTGCGAGTGGACGATTCGCAGAATTAAATATTGAAGCAAGGGTGATGTCTACTCACTCCTGACCTCATTAATTTCCATCCTAGCCTCATCCACTCAGTCGATGGCATCTAGCAGGGACTCCAAGTGTTACATAACCTTCAACCCTACCAGCCAACCAACTTGTCATCATTCATAGACTATTGCACTGGTGGCCAGGCTTGGCCCTGCTTGGCCAGGGTCTCACAACCCTACAGGTACATTTGTACAAACCAAAAAATTGCGTGAGACAGAACTTTCCTAGGCCTGGCAGTCACGCTGAACCTGACAAATTTAAGGGCAGCCAGGCTGAGTCACTCGCACTGAAGGACATTGAAGGACTGAGGTGCAACAGTCGAATATCCGGGCCTACCTCCTGGCCAGCACCTGTTTAAATGTCTTGGAAAAGGGCATGACAACCGCGAGCGGCACGATACAGCGCCAATACCAGATCCCCATTCTCCTTGGCATGGAGTATGACTGTCCAGGAGGTAGTCAATGATTGATGAACGGCCGGCATCTGTCAACTTGAACTTTGAAGGAGTCTTAGCCGACTTGGACATTATGCCCTTCTAACGGCGCGATCGAGCTGTCGACAATAGTACAAATGATGGACAGGTGCAAGACCCAAAATATAGATTTTTTACTTTGTTGACTTGAACTCTGCGCTGACGTGCAGGGGGATGACCCTTTTCGCGTCTGGTTTCGACTGCACGTCAGAATACCCTGGTGGGAGGACGTGTCGGTTGTGTCGTGCGTACCGTATCATTCGACTTTACTACTACACTGTTCATATAGAATGATCGAATCAATCTGGCCCGGCTTGACCTGGTCCATAGCTTGAAGTCGGGCTGCGCACACTACTAGTCCTGTTTCTCCTTGACTTTGGTTCAACGAAACAACACCTCAAGGTCTTCACGTATGAGCATACTGTATGTCATGGCACGGGTTGTGCGACCCAAGTACTTAACCGAAGACGACGATCTGGAAGAGATGATGCGTCGATGATGACTGTTATGGTCCAACCGATTACAACGACTCACCACCATTTCCTTTGGCGCAGTCGCTGAGACTTCCGCTTCTGATGTCCGTCGAAATTCACCGATAACCTTTGTCACAGAGTGCATAATATACCAATCTTATGATTCAGCGTCGGTCTCAACTTGAACTTGACAGGTAAATGCCTTTTTGAATAAGGTCAAACAGCGTGTCGTGGTGTCTGAACCAGATCGTAATGTCGGTACTTAGTCGGCATGTATCGGATCTAGTGAATGCACAGCATGAGGTGCCTAGTTAATTAAGTACTTATAGTTCCGAAGTGGAATTAATTCATGTCATTCTTTTGTTCTTTGCCAATTGACGGAGACGAATGTTGGACGAATCAGTGTAAGCCGCGTCGACTATCTATCCCAGATATTCTTTCACTTTGGCACTCAGACTAGATATGATATTGTTTTCGCTGAGACCATGAAACCACTTGAAGAGTCTCAAGGCAACACGGACTCGATGCACAATATATACACTGTCTGGTAGAAACCTGTGCGTGAGTGTCCAAGGCTGTTGTTCATTGTCTCGGATCAAATGTCGGTAATACTAACATTGACAGGCTCATCGATCCCAAGAAATTCGAGTTTCACAAGTGGCTTTGTCTTCCACGAGTCTGAGTTACACTTTTACACACGACAACATGTCATCCACTGATCTTCGCTGCCCGATCAAATCAGTCACACCGGGCCTTCATAATGCCATGCCTCAATGGTACATAATATGCAGGAGAAAATCATATAATCTTTCTCCTGGTAACGAGGTCCTTCTGTTCTTCTTGGTCGCACCTTCTTCTGCTGGCGTTGCTGGTGGTGATGAGACAGTTCAATATGTTCATTAAAAATGTGATGCAGGGCTTTCCGACCATCACTGGCATACGATGGTTCAACCTTTCTGTCCTTGTCATTACGCCAGCTCTTTCGCTATACGGCTTGCTTTATGTTCCCATCTTTCGGAAGACTATCGTTTGCACTACCCTCTATTACATTTATTCTATGCTTGGTAGGTGTTCTGCAATAGTTGCTTCTTCCGACTGCTGAATTTGCTCCACCAGGCATAACTGCTGGTGAGTGGTGGCGATAACCTTCATGGCATATCATCAGAACGTACCGCTCCAGGGTACCACCGGCTGTGGTCACACAGGTCATATAATGCTTCGTTCCCCTTGCAGGTGTTCCTCATCCTTGCAGGGGCGAGCGCAGTGCAAGGCTCGTGTTATTGGTGGGCACGCCGGCACCGTTCTCATCACAGGCATACCGACACGGACCTTGACCCGTACAACTCAGAACGAGGTCTCCTCTGGACGCACATCGGATGGATTATTTTCGAGTCAGACTTGAAACCCGGGCCAGCTGATATCTCTGACTTGTACAAGGACCCTCTCGTACAATGGCAACATCGATGGTACTTTGTCATCCTGACTATTTTCGGGTACTTGCTTCCAATGGTCATTCCCGGCTTGTTGTGGGGAGATTGGAAGGGTGGATTCTTTTTCGTTGGTGCATTTCGTATGACGGCGTGTCATCACGTGAGTTCCGTATTTTTCATCTTCTAAGACAAAACTTGACCTGAGACCAGTGCACTTTTTGTATCAACTCCATTGCCCACTATCTCGGAACTACGCCGTATGATGACAAGCATACTCCCCGCGACCATCTTTTGTCCGCTATTGTTACTATGGGAGAAGGGTACCATAACTTCCACCACCAATTTCCCATGGACTACAGGTAGTAGTTAACATCCATTGCGCTGTTCTCAACGTCATTTACACAACTCGTGGTCTTTTCACCAGGAATGCATTCCGATGGTATCAGTACGACCCTACCAAGTGGTTCATCAGTGTCTGTCACTATATCGGTCTTGCCTCTCATCTCCGCGTTTTCCCTAGCAACGAAATTGAAAAGGGCGCACTCACGATGAAAATCAAAGCTCTCAAGGACGTCCAGGACTCAATTGAATGGCCTGTACCTCCGCAAGAACTTCCTGTGGTTTCGTGGAAAACTTGTGAGTGACTCCATATTGGCACACGTTCAATTGTTGCTAATCAATTTGTATCGCGCCTTGCAAATAGTCCAGGATGAGTCTCAGTCTCGGACCCTTCTCCTCATCTCAGGTTTCATCCACGACGTGTCAATGTTCCTTGAAAACCACCCGGGAGGACCCGTTTTACTCACACGAAACTCTGGGAAAGACATGACGGCGTCTTTCTTTGGCGGTGTCTACGCTCACTCTCACGCAGCGCATAACGTGCGTACCACATGGCACTGCTTGTTTATCCAATGATGTTAATGACCGACTCTAATCCTTCCTTGCCCGCTGTCAACTTACTTCGCATGTTACGTCATGTAGCTCCTTGGCATGATGCGTGTGGGCATTCTAGCAGGTGGTGTGGAAGTGCCAGCAGAGCATGCCATCCCACCCAGTCAGCGACTGGTCATCCGCGCTAACACCTCCCATTAATAATACAGCTACTTGACACAAATGTCTCGAGTGTTATTGGTTTCGGGAATGTGTGGGTCGGCAACCATGCCTCCCGTGGCTAGAATTGGAGGCCGTGGCAGTGCACGCTCAAGAGTAGCTTGATATAACAATATTTAGTGACTTTGCAAGTGTTAAAATTCTTGTGGGCATCGTGTGGGGATGAACTTTTCCAAAAATTGTTCTTGAATATTCTTGAAACCTGTTGCATTCCAGTGCTTTGCGGATCAGTACTAGTACTTCAGTAACTAGATCATAGGTGTTTACCGACTCACTAGTCTCCAGACCCGATATACTTAAAACATGACAGTCAACATCTCACACTATGTAAGGCAAAATCTAGACAAGTTAGGAATTCGAAGGACAACGAAATGAGCAAAAAACATATTTGCCCACTGGCTGGATTGAACAACCGACCTCATCATCTCTCGAATCTCCTGATCCGTTACAAGTGACGCGCTCTACCACTGAGCTAAGCGGGCTTGTATATTCGTCACATGTAGTTATACATAACGCGTCATTCGTTAGTGACCACCTCAAAGTCGCTTGCACACAACCATGGCAGCAACCCCGCATTGAGGGTTTCGGATGGTTTAAATAGCTGTCGGTGGGACACCCGTTCCACGAGATTTCTTCTCAGAAGCAGCTTGATCGAAGCAATGGGCAATTTTCTATCTTGGGTCACCGACGCAGTGCCTCCAAAGGCCACTTTCTCCGTTGACCAAATTCCAGACCTGACAGGAAAAGTCATTATTGTGACTGGTGCCAACACAGGCATCGGGAAGGAGACTGCGAGGGTGAATTACTTTTCATGAACGAAGCTGAGGGCTTATGGTTGACGTGCGCTCCAAGGTTCTACTTGCACATGGCGCGAAAGTTTACATCGCGGCTCGCAACCAGGCCGCTTCGGAGGAAGCTATTCGTCAACTAAAGCAGGAGACTGGAAACGAAGCAATATTCCTGAAACTTGACCTTAGCGACCTGAAGGCAATCAAGGCGTCTGCTGAAGAGTTCCTGAGGTGAGAGGTGCGCCACTCAAGTATTTACCAGCTTCAATTTGAGCTATTCGACAGCAAAGAAACACAGCTCCATATCCTTCTAAATAATGCGTGAGATAACTTTCTTTTACCTCGACGAGATCCGTCGTACTGAACATCACGAGTGGTGTTATGGCACCCCCGATCGAGCTAGTGACTGCAGATGGCTATGACCTCCAATTTGGAACGAATGTCCTTGGTGAGAAACCTGACAATCAGATCGAGATGACCTGGGGCTGATACTTTTCAGGCCACTATTACTTCACAAAGCTCCTGCTCCCCATTCTAACCTCGACAGCTAAAGCTATTCCCGAAGGAAAAGTCCGCATTGTAAACCTCGCTTCCTGCGCCCATTTATTCGGAGGTCTCGATTTTAACACCTTCAAAGATGGCCCGGCTCGAAAGAAATGCTCAAGGGGCAGTCTTTACAACCAAAGCAAATTCGTAAAGCACTTCCGTTAGCGTTGCGGAATAAAGCTGAACATGGTATAGGGAAATGTCGTGTTAGCCCTTGAATTGGCAAAGCGATATGGAGGCCAGGGCATTATTTCAACGGCGCTGAATCCTGGCAATATCAATTCGGACCTGCCGCGTCACGTTACGGCTCAACTTCCAAGTGTTGCCAAGCGGATTATAGTAATTCATCGAGTCCCCGAGGAAATTTTTTAATGCTAATGAGCTTGCCAGATCAAGGTGCTACTGTATGATGTGTCGCAAGGCGCCCTTACGCAGTTATATGCTGCTACGTCCCCAGAAGCTGCTAGCTTAAATGGCAAGGTGAATCTCGGGATTGAACTTGTATGCTGTTGCAGTACTGAAAGGTATCTAGTATCTTGTGCCGTGGGCTCGCGTCAGACCGCCTAGGCAGGAAACCCAAGACCCTCAACTTGGCAAGGCGCTGTGGGATTGGCTGGACGAGCAAGTCAAAGATGTATGATTCGAAGATGAGCCCTGTTGGGCATATTTGAATTGTGAGTTTTGTAGTATCAATGGACATCATCCCGGTTTTCGTAGAGCCTCTTTATCTGCAACCGGTGAAAACGAGGATCAAGGAGCAACAAGGGAAGTGCAGATGTATGCGATTTTCAACCTTCTTCATCGGAGGAGGAACCTAGAGGGATGAAGCGCTTTGCACTGGAAGCAGTACGTCCAAGCTAGGAAGTACATGTTGAACCAATCGTCCGTGAACATGTACTGGCACTCACCATAGACATCTGCGCGCGTCGATCACGCAAACTCATTGGTGCGGACATGGAATCAAGCGTAGGTAACGACGGTACTGAAGGGCCAGGATTGGCGGATGTGGTGAATGCCTGATTCGACGTAGCGAATGTGACTTGACGCCGTGCCATCCCACCGGCAGCATGCTGAACCTGAGTTTTCAAAACGGACTGGGCTGGGGCAGGGGTCGGAGACGGAGACAAAGACGATAGCGGTGACGACGGAATGGAAATATAACATCTCAGGGGCGAGCGGATAACTTCTTCCAACTTGATAGCTTTCGAGATCGGTTGCGGAGGGATGGGCGGAACTGCTGATTCCGGCGTCTTCTTTGCATTTTGGTTGGCAGTTAACAGGACAAGGTTGTCAGGCTGCGGAGCCGTAGTAGAGACATTCGACCTGATTGGTATAGTGGTTGATGCTGGGGGAATCGCTTCGTGCGCTCGAGCTGATGGAAGTGGATATCCGCCCGACTGAGAGGAAGCATACATCCTTTGAATGTTCGTTGGAAAATTGGCTCCAGGACCGGAAGAAGACTCGGCAGCGGGCTTTCGAGATCGTGTCGTGGCGTGGTTGACTAGAGGAGGCAATATGTCAGCGAGAGGCGTCCTTGTGGTGTGTTTAGGCCTTGGAGCTGTAGTGTAGCCATTGCTGGTAACAGAGCTACGCGCGGGGGAAGTCAACCCGTCGGCAATTAGGGATTCGCGCAAATCCGGGGCGTGTTTTGCCGGAGAATTCTCCGTACGAGGTCTGAGCTGAGCTGAGGCAGTGGGTAATACGCTATTCAATCGCGGCTTCTTATGATGATCTATGCGAGGACTACCCGTCGCCGGGGCGACAGAGTGGGGCCGATCGGATTGTGAGCGCCCTGAATGTGCGTCGTCTTGATTTAAACAAGAATTGGTGCGCTTGCGAGTGGGACGATTCTCAGCAAGAGAGGACGAGACTGCTACTGATTCTGGAAAACTTCGTATGCTGTTAGGAGGAGCGGATAGATTCGATAAAGTAGACTTCATGCTGTCGATGTCGCGGTTCAGACTTGAGATACTGGACAAGACATTATCGGCTATAGAAGTTTTGACCTGATCCACATGCAAAGGGAAGGATTGTACAAGCGGAAGAAGTGGAAGTACCGCGGTTAGTATTGAATGTTGCTGGTCCTGTATGGCTCGCATGGCATGATTCTGGGATTGAATGAGCTGTGCAATCACGGCCTGTCAGTCGAGTGTACTAGAAACAAAGCGGGCTTAGTAGCAAAAACATGAAGTACCGTTTGAATCGCATCTATGCGCTTGTCTAGAGCTTGTATGCTGTTTTCCGCTGAAGATTGTGATTTCTGGATCAATTCGAGAGATGATGCTTGCGATGGTGCACCGATGCAAGCCTTCAACTCAATTTGCACTTTTTGCGCTAAAAGGAGTGATGAGAATATAAACCGTCTCGTTTATAGGCGTTTCAAATGGTTTGCGAAAGCATATAATCTAAACGCACACTCACAAGTATTCGAGATCTCGTCGAGCACGCGTTCACGTTCACTCTCTGATATTCGGTTAGAGTTTACCACTTCAGTCTTTGCGTCCTTGACGTTAACGAGCAAAGTGTCCACTCTCGTGGAGAACTTTTCGAGGGTTGCTTGCATGTCGTGAATGAGCATTCGCATGGAGGTGTTGGTCCTATCGACCGGTGCCATCGCAGGAATTATGGGTGTAGCAGCAACGTCACTGGACGCCGGAAGATCCTTCTGGAGAAGATATGCCCATAGTGCATTAGGTGCTGTCTTCCGCTCGGTGCTCATGGTGTTATGGAGAGAGTAGTGGAAGATAAGTACTATTGCAATTTGTCCCAAAAGGAACCAAGCATGTCAACATCTACGAGTTGACTGATCGATCGTCAGCAGCATGACGCAGTGGAAGCGTGCAGGGCTCATAACCCTGAGGTCACTGGATCGAAACCAGTTGCTGCTAAGTTTCATTATTTTTTTTTCATTCTAGCTCGACGCGCGAGGTCCCACTCCATATACTTTCTTTGCATAACTTGAGTAGAATGATTTTGCTTGTGGTCGCAGTCAATGATTAATGAGGAGCTTCCGAGATGCAAATCAATAGCGTACAATCCTCTTGCCATTTATCGATAGTTTGTACAGCGGTAATCATCAATCAAAAACGCGGACTGCTACCATCGCCCTAAACTCATATCATGGTGTGACGGCATCAATCTATGGTGGTTGTGCGAAACCAACGTTCTCCGCTGATTCAAGAGCCCATACACCTATTTCATCCTGCGGGAGCTGACTCCACTTTGCGTAAACCTAGCAATTGTTAGAATGCTCAAACAATCCCAATGAAAAAAATCACGCACATCATCAAGGATATCCAATAACTCCACTGTCTTAGCGTCTGCAGCACGCTGATTTTCGTCATTATCCTCACATCGGGCGTACAGAGCAGCATTCTCTTCCTCAAGCTGACATAGAATCAGAAAATCTTGTAAATAACAGCATTTGAGAGCTACTCACAGCCTGTAATTCTGCTCGTGCACGCTCTACTTCAGATTCCATCACCCGGACAGTACGTGCACGAACAGCAGCACGCGGCGCGAGGTTTTCCCTCCATACATCCTTGCCATGTATTTCTCCACGTTGTTTTCGAGCTCTCGCTTCAGAGACGACGGCATGGAGAATGTTAATACTATCTCTCACATTAAACTCCTTAAACAGATTCTCGCAACTTTGCTGAGAGGCCGTCTCAGCAATGGTGCATTCTGTGACACTTAAAAGCGAAACTCACGTGGATTTGATCTTCCATATGCCTTGAGACAGTGTTAAAGATACCCTCTGCACCATGTGGCTCTTCCTTGCACCAGAGCGTGAAGCATTCCTGGAAATCTTCGTATCTACGCGACCGTTAGTCCGAACCACGCGTAAATATTGGCAGCCTTGATACTCGCGTCCATTTGTGCGCTGAGCGCGATATGGCAAGCTGTAGTGCCGAGTGAAAATGGGTCCACCGTTTGCTGTCTGGTGCTGTCTTCATCGCGGCTTAGTCTAACGTGTTAATGCATTTGGCACGTGATCAATAATGCTGCGCAGGTTCCAGTGACCTGGCAGTGACTACAATACGTCGTGGAATTTTGGATGTGTATCACCGACATCTATGGACCGCAATGACGAAAATGATGGGCAGCCAGCGAGAATACCACAGCAGAGGAGTTCTGTTCCATCATTTCTGTTCCTAATATTTATGCTCTTCATACTCACGAATCACACTGGGGATGAATTTCTCGCTCGAAATCATTACCAGGATGCCCTTCAATCCCTCAACTACCAGCTGTCAAACTTCACTGCTTGGCTGAATGGGACAGAGTCTAACTTTACAATGGTACGTTCTCAGTTGCTTCCGGCTGCTGTTGAATGTTGAAGAATCGCAGCCAGACAGGAATGCCGCTGCCTCTCCTCTTGTAGGGTCATTCATGTCTTTTGGGTCTCATCTCAATTCGCAGTGGGCGTCTTATTTTTCGAATGTGACCGGATTTGCACACGGCGAGATCGACTTCTTCAATATCACCCCTCCCAGCCTTGAATCCGCAACCTATCCCTGGAGAACACATGCTGAGACGTTCATGGGCGACACTAACATGACAGATCTCGTCGGTCACTTCGGATCTTGGAATTGGACTGGCTCGGACAAGATTTCATGGAGTATAATGGATCGAGCTCCAATCAGCGTGAAAGGTGTTACCGAGAAGATCGCCATGGTTCACGTGAGTTGCTTTCATTACTTCATTTCATGAAAATTGAATCCCCACAGGGCAGAATTGATGTCCGTCACCCCGCCACTTCCGATGATATGAAGCTGGATTTTGAAGGCGTGCACTTCCTCGCAAATGGGTCAATATATGGCTTTGCTGAACCCACCGGGTGTGTCCTTAGCCATGACGTCCAGACGACAGAAACTGATGTTGTGTTAGTCGACATATTGACATCCGCTACATCCCCGCCTTTGTCCCAGAAGCTTTCCAGAATGACACTGCTCGAACAATAGAACCTGAATTGATGTCTAGAATTAACAAGGTGAAAGATATGATTGATGCGGGTGTTATCGACCAGGACTCGACCAGTATGCCAAAGCTACCTCCCGTGTCTGTCACACTTCTAACTGTGCTTGCAGATGGGGAATCGCAAGGGGGTTGTGCGTTCAGCGTTTACGCGCAAATTGCGCCATCCGAGATACCCGCAGAGGATATGGAGGACCTTGAAGACGAATTACAGAAACCAACGGGGAGATGGACAGTGAAACGTCCGCCTCTCAAGCTCAATGGTGTGCTTTTGAGTCGAGAATGCGGCATTTTATACAACTTGCATGACGCGGAAGGATTAAGGTATGGCTTCAATGTTTCCTGTTTAGATACGTAACTGAGTGTTTGTCTCAAGGTCTCAGTTATTCTTCCGGAAGGTTGCCACATGTTAGGATGTTCCGTCTTGACTCGGTCAGTTTATTAATTCGTGTTTTTTGACAGATGCTGGTATCTCAGCTTTTGTGTACTTGGTACAGTTACTACTGCTCTCTCGTCAAGTTGACCGAAGCCGTACTCCTGCTGGATTGTCTCGTGTGTCCGTATGGACGTTCCTTACACAATCCATTGTGGACTCCGTCTCATTTGCTGGACATATTACTTTTGCCATTATTGCTAATGGGCGTCCTTCCTTATCGCTTGTGGCTCCAGCATTCGTTGCCTGCGTGCTTTTTGCTTTTGAATCAGTCAGTGAGCCTTCACTACTCGATAGACTACGCAGACTGAATTGGCTTTTCAGCAACATGCCATTCTCATTAATCAGGTTCAAGCTCCAGAGGATGCGGTGGTGCCGCCCCCTCCCCGGCCAGTACAACAGGAATCATCACTGCCTTCTCAAGCTGTGCCCACACCGATAACAGCTCCTCCTCGATCTACTGGCCCGACATTCTCAAGTTTATTGTTCCGACACATTCGCTCTGATCCCCAAGCACGGATATGTAGGTATCCAGGTGTTCTGTTCTCATATCCACGTCTGACGTTTCCTCAGGGCTAGGAATGTTTTTCTTCCTAACATTCATCGTCCGAGTCATCGTGACTCCTTCGCTAGCGCTGGTATTTGTGGCGAGCATGTACTCCCTTTTCTGGCTGCCACAGATTATTCGATCGGTAAAGAAAGGCAGGAGCAGTGCACTTACTGCCGAATACTTGATTGGCACATCACTCTGCCGACTTTTCCATGCTCTTTGTGAGTACCAGTACATTTATTGTCAATTTAGCGTCCAACATATTTATATTTTCAGACTTCTTGACATGTCCAAAGAATGTGCTCGACGTCGAGCCCCGCCGTAGGTACAGAGTCGTGGATCAACCAGACTTGACTTATGCTTTACTAGGTTGGATATGGTATCTTGCGATATTCATCTTCTTACAAGTCGCCGTTATACTGCTTCAGCAGCGTTTTGGGCCGGCGTTCTTCCTTCCGAAACGAGTAGGTTGTGTTTTTCAGTCATACAGATATTTTTGCTGAGTATTGCAGTTTGCTCGTGCGCAAGTGCACGACTATCATCCAGCATTACCGCTTTCTGCCGCTGACCCAGAAGCACCTGACGAATCTCTTGGGGACTGTGCTATTTGCATGGAGGCTATTCATACCGAAGATGAGAAGCAGCTAGAGCATGTTACTGGTGGATTACTGCGAAATGTTGGAGCAAGGCGAAGTTACAGTCTGGCTCCTTGTCAACATCTATTTGTGAGTTCTTGATATCATTTATGTGCAAACGGCACGCTCATACTGTTGAGCAGCATACGGAGTGCCTGGAGAAGGTACGTTTTTTGCTCCCTGTCGGATTATAGACGCTAATTTCCTCCATCTACTAGTGGCTTGCTATCAAGGTAACCGTCTACATATACAAATGAGACTATATATTGATCGGTCTTTTTAGAATATTTGTCCCCACTGTCGTAGGCCCCTTCCGCCACTTTGACAGATCTGATATCCATCATCAACACTATCTCAGTACTACATACCTCGCATTTCTTGTATTGCATTTTTCTCTGTTAATTCTAGCCACCTGTACTTGTCCGCAAGAGTGTTTCATACCTCAGCTAGTCAACACGCCGCGGATCTGACTAATGTCGCTCCCGATTATGACATCGTATGCTCACTGTGTATTCACTAACACCGTCCCCACCCAAACCTCAACAGGTGTGCCCCCCGCTCCAGGAATTTGTGCCATCTCCTCAAAACGGATGCCGATTTTTTCTCCCATTTCCCAAAGAGTACGTTCTGCCACATCTCGCTCTTTGTAACCAAGAATGATCAGTGGAGGTTTTGCTGGTGTGACACCCATTGAAAACATGATAAGCCTGGAGAGTGTTCCGACGAGTGCAGGGAACGATGCAGTGTTATATGTAACATCTGCCATCCTAGATGAAAGCTCAAAACATTCACATATGCAGGTTGATACGCACTCACACAATCACATCGATGCCACTGACGAATGATGCCACCTGGGTGGATATGTCAGGTTCATCCCAGTCGAGAACAACGCCCTCGGGTGCGTTTCCAGGGTGGTAGAGAGATTGACTCGAACTAATATTGCTTTGTAATAGAGGCAAAGCAGAGGCTGTACCCCACAATTAGTGAATTTATTCGTTAAGCTGCCACATGCCGCTCACGCAAATCGGTGGTTAAGATTTTTCCTGACGTCACAGGAGAATTAGGCAAGCCTCGCAAAATGCCAAGAACGATGGCGACTATGCCTGTCCCTGCGCCTACTCAGGGTTCAGCGTTGCGAGGAATACTACCTTGCTGAGAGCTCACCGAGCTCGAGAACATTGCACTTTGAGGCGGAGAGTGCATCCTTCACCTTTGAAACCAGGGCAGTGTTGGCAACCATCCCAGAGTGAAGTTGTATTAACCAAGAGCTAAGGCCGATACCACTGTCCCATATTTTCTGTTGGAGCTTCATTTTAACTGTCTGCAGCGAGGTAAGCTGATGTCTGACTTGCCTTGTCAAGGTCAAAGGAGGTTTGCTCAACGATGTGAAATATCACGGGATGGTCTCTATTTGTCGCAGTTAACGTATATGATCTCTGAATTCGCTCTTGCTTTACAGCCTTGCTTGAGCGAGCGGAGAAAAATATAGGATCAGATATGACGGGGAACGGCCGGTGCCCCAGATTTTCATCGTTCAGGGAAAGTACCTGATCTTTTCGTGATGTTCCAGAGCTAAGGACAATGCGCCAGTATTCTCCACTGCGGACATTTCGAGGGGGTGGGACGGGTATTTCCTTGTACATCGTAGATGCCCTCCAGCTCGTGAGCTTCATGGGCTTTGTTATTACTGTGCTTGACGTGGGTGAATGCAAGAACCACGAATAGAATATATCTTGGACATCTGTGTAATACTCTGTCCGTAGATCATTGGCGATTTGAGGGGTGATGAGGATGGGTTCGCCAGATAAGGCGGCTTGGGTGGGAGGTGGCCGTAAGAATGAAATGTAATAGAACATATTTCTGTGACATAGGCCAGACGCTCGAGACGACTTGCCAAAATTTTGACGTGTTCACTGCTCAGGTACTAGACCTACATATAAAAGGCCATAGTACGGTAGGGAGCGAAAACAGAACATGATCATATGCATGACTCCAGCCGAGCGGACGCGTCGCCCGATTTGGCGAAGACATCTTCTGTCGGCAAACTCAACACGCAAGTAACATGTTTCGTACTACCGGCGACATCCTAAAGACGTCTCTTTATTTGCGGCCATGCATTCATCCTTCGAGTCGCTCTTTTGTCCACTCTTTGCCACGTAACTTTCCAAGAATAGGGCGGTTTGCTTCGGAGAAGCCATTCCAGAGCATACTGCCGACTTTTCGTAACCAAGTTGCCCTTTCAATTGGAGTAGAATCCTTCAGCTCTCGATTTCCGCGGCCGACAATACGGAATCAAGTGTTGGTTAGCAAATTTCATCCATCATCCATCTGTTCATGCTTTAGCTGGCTGGCTTATGGTTTCTTAGTTTTTTGTCGGTGGATCTTTACTCGCGTATTCGATAGCCGCAAGTCAAACCGAAATCGACACCGAGTACTGGTCAAAACAGCTCGTATCTGTCTCTCACAGATGGACTCTGCGACCCCCAACTACTGAGGAGATGAGAAAGGCTCAATACCTAGAGCTTGGCAAGGTGCGTTTCACTCTTTTCCGAAGTCCTCCATGAAACATTTTATCTTCAGTATCTGCAAACGCAAGTAAATCAAATCAAAGATACGCTGGCGGAATGGCCTCTTGCATTGCGCAACCTCATTCTCTCCGTCTACGTTCAAGCTGCACAGTCATACCTTGATGCCCCCGAGGGCAGAAGATTGTGCTGGTTGATTTGCGGCGTCAACACGGCCATATATCTCGTGTGGAAGATACCGCGACTCGCGCCGTTCATGACCCGATCTTTCACTCACCACCCGTTGTCAGGACGCTCATACACTCAGCTAACGAGCATGTTTAGTCATAAATCCTTCATCCACTTGTTGGCAAATTCAATGGCCCTAGCTAGCTTTGGTGCGCTAGTTAGCTTTTTAGAGGGTCATCCTAACTTCTTCCATTTATAAGGCTCGGCCGCCACGCACTATTTTACCCTGGAGCAACTAAAAGATGGTGAACATCAGCAAGAAGCCACTGCTAAGTGGCATTTCCTTGCTTTCTTTATCTCCGGTAGGACGTTGTGTCAGTCTCCGCTGTTTGGTTTATTCATCTCTCGAAGCTGGACTGTTCTCTGGTTTGGTCAGCCATGTTGCTGCTTGCAAAGTTCTCTTCCCTCGCCTTGTCAACCAGTACACCACTTCTGCAGTCATAAAGAACTCCCCAGCGGCAGCTGCAATATCTAGCACAGCTGTAAAGACTGCAACTACTGCTCCGCGGGAGATTTTACCATCTTTAGGCGCGTCTGGGGCCATTTACGCAGCTGTGACAGCTAGCGCATTAGCCTTCCCAGACGCCCAAGTCAGCCTCATTTTCCCTCCTTTCGTTTCGATACCGATTCAGGCGGGAGTTGGTGGTCTCGTCATACTTGACGTGATCGGCATCGTACGCGGCTGGAGGTGGGTACACGTACATACGTGCATGAGAACATCCCTAACATTGTTGGTAATGCCTTTCAGGATGTTTGATCATTATGCTCATCTTGGTGGTGCGGCGTTTGGTGCATTATATTACATGTATGGACCGCAGTGGTGGGCTTTCATGAGGGGCGGGTATCAACAACTCCACTCTCCCGCATCTTAGACGGTGACATGTCCTAGGATCATTCTTATAAACCACGCTCAGCCATTTTTGACACTCAACAACGCTTGATGATCACTATTGTACAATGGCAGGTAACAACGTTTCTTGGGGAACATTTTTTACGGCGTGATCACTTATGCAATAGTGATCTTCTTGGGCTCTTGATCCTTTCCAACTTTCGGGAAAGTGACCTTCAGGACTCCATTTTCCATCTTTGCCTGGACCTCCTCAGGCTGCGGGTGACGTGAGCTTCGACCCACGAAGGTAGTAAGCTGAACACACCTTTGTCCCCACAGGCAGTTGCAAGGTGCGAGAGAATTTTCCGTATGTGCGCTCACGCACAGCGTAATCTCCTTCTTGGCGCTGATCCTCCGCACCCGTTTCCCCTGAGATGGTGAGGCGGTTCTGCTGCACGTCAAGTTTGATATCTTCCGCCTTCATGCCAGGGAAATCAAAGAAAGCCGTGACTTCATTACTATCTTTGCTCTCAACCAAATCCATCCTAGTCAAAGTTAACGATGCAATGATGCCCCTTTTTATGCACATACTTTGGGCGGAATGTCCCGACGCGAGACCCGCTTTCGGTAGCTCGGCTGACATCAGAGGGACGGAACCGGGCACTGAAAGCGTCGTCGAAGAGGCGCTCGAACTCGGTGAATGGGTCGTAGTGGAAGTGAACAAGGGACATGATGATGAATATGTATGTGCTCGATTTAAGTGTGCAGTGATGGGCGTTCTGACGAAGGGGTTTTCCCTCCTGACGGCCCTTTATATTTCTCCAGAACCCCTATCATAGCTCCTTTCGCAGAAGAGTCATACTTTCCGTGTCGGGTTGGTCAATCGGCGGGCTTGCTTCGACCGGATATCCTGATAAGGCCGCCTGTCTGCAGAGTATCAAAATCCGAAGAGGAGCAAGCTCGATTTTGTCTGAGTTCAGGTGTTTTGAATTCAAATTGAAGATTGAAAAGGTAACGACTGATCGGCAGTCGATGACCTCACATCATCGGGCCCCCTTGATCTGTGAGCCGCCTGCTTAGATTGACATTTTCGCGGTCTTTGGGTGACAGGAGTGATTCGTCAGCAGCCTTAGGATTCAATAAGGACAAATACTTCGAAAAGCCGCGCTCTGTTACCACCCGTGACATGGGCTAAAAATGGTAGTCACAAGTTGAGGACTCCGTACACCTCTTAAGAGATTAATGCGATCGACAACCAGCTGTGGTTCCATAGCATAGCGCGGCTGTCCGGCTTTTTGTCCTGCAGTTACAGTGTCATATCGTGACGGCGCCAACGCCAGCCCCTGACTCGCTTATTTGTGGCATGTTTTGTGTCCATCGAATTAAACGCAAACTAGTCTTTTATTTCATTTTTGGTAAATGATTGCTAATCCCATGTGATTCAATCATCTGTCAATGCATGATTTTTTTCGACTCGTAGCCGGATGAGTCTATCTTGACCAGTCTTGCTAGACAAACAATCTTTTCCTTTTACCACGCCTTGAACATTCACTCATGGATGGATTTTTCAAGGCCCATCTTGAGTAGTCATAGCTAACCGTCTGGCACCAGAACAGATTAGAAATCTGCTCTCTTGTGGTGCGGATTCAAAACCTGTCGACATGGACAGTTCTTCGGAGGTTCGTCTACACTTGGCCAGCAAGCGTCCTGGCCCAAGTGGTTAACCCAACAGAATCAAAATCTGTTTCTCTTGTACTTCGCAGGTTCGAAACCTGCCTAACACCAGGGTTTTTTTCTATCGGAACACGCCTTGAAGATTCACTCATGGACAGTTCCTCGGAGGTGCATCTCAACTTCGTCCTCGCCAAAGTGGTTACCACAACGGAATCAAAATCCGTGTCTCTTGGACTACGCAGGTTCGAAACCTGCCGAACAACAGGGTTTTTTTTTTCTATCGGAACACGCCCGATTCCTCGGAGCAACTTCGCCCTGACTGAAGTGGTTACTGCAACATAATCAAAATCTGTCTTTTGGACTGACACTACCAATGCAGGTTCAAAACCTGCCAATGAGTGTTTTTTCCATCCGAACACGCTGATGAACAGTTCCTCAGAGGCTCATCTCAACTTCGCCCGGGCCCAAGTGGTTACTACAACGGAATCGAAATCTGTCTCTTGGACTGACACTACCAGTGCAGGTTCAAAACCTGCCAATGAGTTTTTTTTTATCCGAACACGCCTTGAAGATTCACTGATGGACAGTTCTTCAGAGGTTCATCTCAACTTCGCCTTGGGCCAAAGTGGTTACTAACACAGAATCGAAATCTGTCTCTTGGACTGTACCAGTGCAGGTTCAAAACCTGCTGACGACGTTTTTTCTCTCAGAACACGCCTTGAAGATTCACCCTCGCGGGTTCATTTCAACTTCGCCTGAGATGGTTACTACCACAGAATCGAAATCTGTTTGTGTCGGACTTGCGCAAGCTCGAAACCTGCCGCGGACAAGGTTTTTTTCTATCAACACACTTTGACATTCACTCATGGATGGAGTCCTCGGAGGCTCATCTTAACTGGTCTTAACCAAGTGGTTACCACAACAGAATCAAAATCTGTTTCTCTCGCAGTCGGTTCGAAACCTGCTGACAACATTTTTGCAGTGTATAGATCCTCAGAGCTCCGTCTTGACTAGGCCCAGTCATTGCGCCGAAACCTCCTTTTTATGTGATAGCTGTCCATGAAATAGAATTCACCTTCACGCCTCGTGCGGATCGTCTCAGAAACATAAGGTATATCCCTGAGATGTGTACGTGCCAACCTAGATTCTCGACGGACTACCCAAAACTGTCGGGATTCACCACCAAATGAAACATTGATGGAGCTGGAGGCCAGAAGAATGCACGCAAGCTAAGGACAGAGTGAGTCTGACGGTCAGGCAGATGGCAGATGTTGTAACCTCCCCAGCCTCGCTGAAGTCTCATCGATGAACACTCCTTCGGTCGTTGGCTCTTCCAACGCGACCGAGGATGATTCGGAAGCTGTAGGTGAGAGAATTGAAAGTGGCAGACCAAGCCATATCATTCTGATATGTGTAATTTGCGTGCGCTCCTGGTTTGTGTTGATGCGGGGCGGAACATATTTTCGATTGCCGCAGCAAGACCCGGGCCGACGGAAGGCAAGAAAGCCCCTCAAGAAAACAAGCATTAGTAAGGAAATTGGAACAGGGGCGAGACAACAGGATAACTGCAATTCAGTCTGGTCTGTCTCAGGGAGTTTGGCACGCGAGGAATTCGAGATAGCGCGCGCGCGTTTGCTCGACTGAGCAAAAGGCTCATGGAGAAGTTCAGCAGCAGAGTTGCGTCTCGGAGCCACCAAACGCTTATGTAAAAATGAAGAGCAAGTCACCACAATATTCGGTACATAGATGGTCACGCAGGAGGTCACGCACATACTTGTAGTAGTAGTGGCGATTATCAGCGCTCTGACCGTGTCACAGCGAGTGAGCGCGAGTCATCATAGGAAAATCGTCAATCAAATGATGGAGACTCGAAGTAGATCTACGGTATGGCCCGGGGTTGAACAATGTTCCAAAATTTGATGACTCGGATGACTCGGATGCACGAAGTCCTCTTACCTATTACGGACGCGTGACACTGACTAAGTCACTAAGGGAGCGCGTCTGGCTTTCCACAGAGCTCCTTTTGGGTACAAGACAGAGAAAAGAAAAGAGGGTACGCGGTGAGCGGTCTCCTACTACGGCACGGGGAGTAGCCACGTCTCAGGTCCAACTGTAAGTAGAACAGTGTCATTGATGACGCTAAGTAGGGCGGGCTGTAGTACTAGTAGATCATCGAAGATGATTTGCATTTGTGGTAACATGTGGTGGTACTTTAGGAGTGTAAGCACACTCCTAGAGTACCACCACGTGTTGCGGTCGCAAATCAACAGGACTTGCATTCTCAAGGTTGGTCCACAAAGTGGGTACTGCTCCCGAAGACGGCTCGATTAACGCCAAAAACGATTCAACTCCAGATGCCGACAGAGCAGCTGGCGGTAGCTGGCGTTGATTTCCTAAGTAAATAATATGATGAATGTTTCTACAATAAATTTGAAGTGAAGGTATGTACCATAGTTTCTGAGAAGATTTGGAAAGTCCAAACCAGGACCACGATCGTGATCCGAATCTCTTGGTTGTCGTCGTCAGTCGGCCCTGGGAGAGTACTAGCTGCAACAGAGACTGTGGTCAATCTTGCCCCAGAGTCTTCAATGCGCTGGCAAGGAATCCCGGTGCGTTGGGTGTCGAATCGGCAGAGGAATAAATTTCTGTAGGAAATTTACGACAACCTTGGTCCGCTCAAGTCAGTTGTCATAAATTTCCCAAAGTGTACCAAGTGCATTGGGTGCCGAATCGGAGAAGGGATGGCTTGCCACACTCCCCGTAGGGCGTTTTTGACTGTCGACTTGAGCGTACCAAGGGCCCGTCAGACATGGTCGAAGCTAGTTTGCGTCGTGATTCGTGAAGTAGTATAACACAGCGTTCGGGTTACTAGTGTACGTCAAGTGACAACTGACCGTTAGCACTTGTCTATTAAGTAGGCGTGATTCTAGAACTCACCTCGGTTGTGATGGAACAGACTGCGAATAGAAGACGAAGCAGGCTAAACTAAATACTACATCGCCTTCGTATGTTAGCGTTAAGGTGAAGCAAGAGAAAGAGATTGACGTGTCGGGGAAAGGGACAAGATCAATCTTCGAGAGAGATGACAGAGATAGAGATGTTATAGAGGGTAGCGAGAATGAATATCTGAAATGGCGGTGAATGAAAATTCTAAGAGAGAATAAACAAATTTTCGTGTGCTCAAGCGATGAGCTAGAGGATTTGGTTTTTGTGTGGGAAGGGCTAGTGTTGATGCCATTAACCGAGACATATTTTTTCTCCGTGTCTATGAAACTCGGGGCTCTGTGTCTGTGAAGCTCGGAGTACCCGAAGGCGCGTGCATCGAGGCAAAAATCTACACGGATCGGGAGGAGAAAGACAGCCCTTCGGAGCACTAACTGATTTAGTATCGGGAGCAGACGTTGGGTCTGAAGTAGAATGCAATACCAAACCAAAAAGCGCTGAAGTATGAAAATATTTGGGAGGTGGGCGGGTGAGCTAAAAGTGCCAAATGCAAGGCGTCGCACAAATGGGAAGGACGAAGAAGAAGAAAGAGAACACAAAACGCGAATCTTCGAAGTGGAGGACAATTTGAGTGCGCGCGCACGCCGCACAGACCAGTCCCATTCTCGTTGCGAAGAACGGGAATGCGAATCTCCACATGAACGCCCTTTTCGCGTGCGTCAACATTCGCAATGAATCAATAATGTGCTCAGAACTCGAGTGTCAATGAGAACACGAGGTGTGGGTCAACTCTAATTATCTGCAGAAAGAACGAGGCAAAGTTTGTTATGTAGACACGTTCAATGGCGTCCAAAAATTCTTTGGCTGGCGTTCTTAGTCAACTCCTGTATTCCTGCGCCAACCATCCCGCCGACCATTTTTGAGGTACTAGCGGCCCCCACTAGACTCTCGACGCTCTTGGCAAACAAGTCCCATCCACTTGCGTTTTGCAACCGAGAGCTCGCTCCAGCATTCATCATCAACGCGGCTTTCACTGAATCAAGCTCGTTAACCACTTCAAGCCCCACAGATCGGGCCCACACCACCGGTTGTGCTGTAGAAGAATAGACCTTGTGCATCTTGTCGATTGCTGACATCACCTTGTGGTTTTCAAAATAGCGTTCCCGCGCATAGGGAATCAGAGCTGTATACGAGCCTGAGGAGATGATTGAAGGGCACTCTTCTCGATGAGGAAAGGTGTGTCTCACCGATGTCTCCGCCATGCGTCAAAGCTTGTATGATGCACCTCGATAGAGCGTCGACGTCTCCCAGGCCCAGGTTTAGACCTTGTCCTGCTAGCGGATGGACGGTGTGTGCAGCATCTCCCACTAATACCGTGCGGCTTCCTGCACCCTCTCCAAGATAGGATTCAGCATGGTTGTAACGCAGCGGAAAACTTGCTACCGTGCCCTGCTGGATTGAAATCACGAGGGGAGGAAGCGCATCCGCATCGTCCGGGGGAATACCACCATCCGAAATCATTGACGTAGCGGATGCGTATGCAGAGTGGCTTGAAATGCCATCCGAGCGTTCCCTGAACGCGATTTCTTCCTTGATCTCCTCGCTGGAATGAGCGCCTTCGAGGAGTCGTCTGTAGATGTACTGCAAAGACGGCTCGGAAAGGCGGAAAGCGGCATTTATTAATTGCCCCAGAACTTCTGAAGATGATTTGTTCAGCGCTGCTGCCAGGTGAGGTTTGGTCGACCATACAAGCGAAGATGTGCAAGGGGAGAGCGGCAGGAATGCAATCGGACCCGTCGGGAGGAATCTTTGGTAAGCCGTATCGTTGGGTGCTTGGAATGGTCCTCGCGGCGCATGATTTAGCGTCGCGACGACAGCTTGCGTATCATATGACCATCCGTATGATGAGATCCCAGCGAACGACCTTACTGGGGAGTTGAACCCGTCGGCGCCGACTAGCAGTCTTGCGCGGAGGGTGGCGCCATTAGAAAGATGCACGAGGGGCCAGTCGTTGCGGTCACCTGCTTCTCGTTTTATAGATTCGACTTTGACACTTTGAATTACCTGGACACTCGGGGTATCCGAAAGCTTTCTTAGCAATGCGCGTTGGAGGTTCAAGTTTTCTGTCATTCGAGCCATTTCGCTCGACTCCGGCATTTCAGACGCGTCAAAGGTGATGCGAGCACCGGAAATTCCATCCCACACCTAATATGAGACAATTGAGCACTGAAGGTCGATGTCACCCTACAGAGACGGCACCTGCATCTGGTGAATAGGATTCGTGCGTGCATGTTCGATATAGTCCCAGACACCAATCCCTGAAAACAGTTAGCTATGACATTGAGCGCCTTTACAAGGTACACGCACTGTTCAAGAAATGTTGAGACGTGTTTGTGATGGAACTGACGCGGTTTGAGTACGCACTGGGCGGCATGCCCCAATCCTGTATTTTGGACAAGTCCCCCCCTTCTATTAGCGTAATCTTGAGTGAATTCTTGGCGGTAGGGTTCGAGGCTGCGCATAATGCTCGAATAAGAGTGAGACGTGGGCCAAAAAAACGACGCACCAAGGGCAGCTGCCAAAGCCAATCCTGCTGGCCCCCCTCCTACTATCACAATGTCATTATCTCTCGCATGTTCAGAACTGAAGGATCTGAGAAACAGCCTCCGTCGACATCCTAGACGCGCTGATGACCTTGACGTTGCAAAGAAGGCCATGAAATAAATTGTAAATTTATGAGATTGAATGTGTGACCTGTCCAAGAAAGCTTAACAAGCGCCTATTATGTACAATGTTACGCTCAGGCTACTCATAGACCTTAAGTCGTGTTGACATTCGTCACATTTCTGCGGTTACTTTCGCTTATTCCTCGATTCAATCGTTCACTCATAAGACTCATTTCCTGGTAACAGTGATATTTGAATATTGGAGGCCAGCCCGTAGCTCCCATGGCTGCCCCGCAGGTATCTGCTGCGCAAGCCATCGGCGAGTACCTCCAGTCTCCTGACGATCTCCTGAAAATCTCAGCATTCCGGAAGAAATTGGAGAAAGAGAAGGCCTCCATTGATGCCAGACTCAAAAGTGGTGTCAAGGAGCAGCTTGATGCAACTCGGGAAGGACTCACGAAATTGCTTGGGACGCGAAACAACGTTCAGGTCATAAAGGAGGAGATGCAGACTGTGGACAGGATGTGCTCTGACCCTCAAAATGTCGTGTCAACATTCGACCAGATCAGCAGGGTGCGTTATCTATTATTCACATATTCCGCCAGCTTGAGGTTGTACAGGTGTCGATGGTTCACAGGAATTTCGAACAGACGGAGGAGATGGTCAACAATCTACTGGAGATTAACTCGAAGCTCGACGTACTAGAGGAATTATTGGAAGCGGAGAGCAGAACCATCATTGGGCCCGCTCCTAATCTCCTTCCAATCCACTTTCACATCAACCGTCTGGAGGCATTCCGGAATCAGACCATGCATCAAGCAAAGAAAGCTTCTGCCAATTCGCGCCACAAACTTGCGCGTATGTTTGAGCGGTTAAACAAGCTCATTGAAGATTTCGAGGCATACATCATGGAGTTAGCCCGCAACGTGCTGCCACTTGTTCGTGCAGGATATCCGGAAGTTGTGGTAAAGCTCATAAAGATCGCGGAGCTTGAGGCACGGGAAGACGAAAAGGTATGACACACTACATCATTCACCCAGAACTAAATTGATATGGTGTAAGGCCATTGCTATTAGGCTCGTCAAAAAAGCTGCCAAGATGGACGCAGCATCTAAATTCAAGTCCATGCAGGCAAATGCCCGTATCATCAAGCACTACCGCTCTAAAGCTACCAAAGCCATATCTGACTCCATCAAGGCCAATTTTGATGACGCATATACGCGGCATCAGCACGACCCTGGCGCCTTTCTTGGTGGCCTTTCTTGGATATACCAAGACCTCATCCGGATCGAAAGCGACGTGGTGCCATGCTTTCCACCGAGCTACGAGATACATGCGTTCTATATCAAAGAGTACCATCGTACTCTAAATGCGACCCTTCAGCGCATCATTGAATCGGAGCCCGATGCGAGCATCATGCTCGACCTTCATGCCTGGATCAAGGAGTACAAGAAGAGCATGAAAGAGTTGAATATAGCTCCGGAGCTCCTTGATCCACCGCTGCTCGGCGGCGAGGAGCAGAACCTCATCGAGGACTACCTGAATTTGATTGTCAAGAAGCTCGATGAATGGTCTGCGAACCTAATGAAGACGGAGATTCAGGAGTTCACTACGCGCTCGGATCCACCCGAGGTGGACAGCGACGGACTCTATGGCACGCAGGGCGCGGTTATCCTGTTCCAGATGGTGAACCAACAGATCGACGCAGCGACAGAAAGTGGTCAAGGAGCTATCCTTGCTCGTGTGGTGGGTGAGGTGAATCGAGTAATGAGGAGCATACAGGATCAATGGACCAAAGTCGTTGAGGCAGAGCTGAAGAAGCAGACGGAGAAACCGGAGGAGGTCGTCGGGGGTCTGGCAGAGTATTGCATTGCACTTGCCAACGACCAAATCAAGTCCGCCGACAACACCGAGGCGCTTTTGGGACGACTCGAACCCCTTGTATCAGAGAAGTACCGAACGCCCATTAGTGAGAAGCTCAATGACGCCATTGATGGAAACTTGGATGTTGCGAAGAAATGCATTCAGACGTTTATTGATATTATCCTCAACGACTTGAAGCCCGCGACTAAGCAACTTTTCCAGCCAACTTGGTACGACGGTGTCATGGAACAGATCGTGCTTACGATGCGGGATTACATGGCCGATCAATCTTATATCAACCCATCGCTCCTCGAGCTTCTTGTCGAGTATCTGCTTGACGCCTTCTTGGTTACTTATCTTACTGCACTCGCCAACTGCCCGAAATTACGCATACCGGCAGCAACGGAGCGCATCAAAGAGGACATCAGTACTGTGTTCTCCTTCTTCAGCGGGTTCAAACCCGCCAAAGAGCTCGAACCATACTTCGAGGTGGTGGACCTGATTTTAGCGATGTTGGAAGCGTCTAAAAGCATGGTTTTCCTGTCATTTTGGGCCTTTGCGAAAGTGCACGGGCCATGTATACCGTTCGTGGAAGGACTGATGAAAGTTCGAGGAGATTTCGATCGTTCTGCTGTCAGCGAAGTAATGGATAGCATCAAGCGCAAAGTAAAAGATGATGGCCTAACTGATCGTAAGTCCTTCTGACAACTGTGCTAATCACAGCGATGCTTATTCTTCCGCTTCAGCTCCGGAACCGACGATCATGAAGAAGATAACGGTTCAAAGCACACTATCACGTTTCTTGCGGACATGATCTGACCCACATTATTATTTATTTCCTTTCGGTTTCGCTGTCCATCACACTGTACTGTACTCGCATGATATCCGCCATATTGGAATACAAAGTATTGTTTCATTGGGACCTGATCGATCGATCTCTATGCTAATCAGTCAGTCTTAGTCCTATCTGCAGCCGGGTTGGAGCGATCGGGCAGGATTGCAGCTACTTCATCTATTTTCTTAAACTGCCACGGGAACCTAGAGGGATAGAGGAAAGGACGGAGATCAAATCCTGTGCAACAATGTAAGTCCGTGCAACTTGTGATATTAAGTTTTGAGCACAACATACTGTTGTCATCTGGGCTGTAGGATTCCTACGACAAGGTCAGTATCATATCAGCTTGTGAAGACAAATATACCCACAGCATGGTATGACGGTGTCAGAGTTGTCATCTTATGACGGTTGCGCGCATATTCAAAGAAGAAATGCTTGACTTTCTCTGCGATCTAGAAGGCGCAATCAGCGGATTAAACTTAACCTTGAACGATGACATACCTGAACGGGAGACAGGAATGAGCCCCACTCGTGCACCAGCTTCGTGAACATGCCGTATGGTCCACATTTCTCCACTTTGCGGAAACGGCCAAAGACTGACAGTTCATCATACGTCATGCCCATGTCCGCCTATCGAGTGATCAGCACCATTGAGAGAACACTTTCGAGAGAATCTTCACCTCATCTGCTTGGACGTATGTCTCTGAAATTGGCTCTAGCTCGGCGGTCGGTATGGCGCTCAAAAAACTGCAGGACATCAGGAATGAGTGTCAATCCTAATATTGACCCAGCTGTACTAACTCGTTCAAGATGGGAATTTCAAACGCATCCCGAGCGTAGGCAATGAACTTCTTGAGGTCGGTTTTACTGATGCCGCCAATAGGATTGATATCAGCTGCCATTCATGTTAGTTCATCCAGCATTTCTTTCGAGACAGGCTGACCTGATGAACAATCGTATTTCGTCAGATACCCGCGGAGACTGAATCCTAAGTCAGTCGATTGTCATCACTTCGGTCAGTTAACATACCTTTCATCGACGTTCGCACTGCCAAGGACGAGGAGCGCACCCTGTCTGCCTCGCACCCAAGGAAGTAGCTGAGCGAAGAGATAAGCAAGGAGCATCCGCAACCGTGCCTGGCAGTAATCATCAGTGACCGTGTAGATCCCGATTCACGGCACTTGCCTGGATGTTCTGCAGCGCCAAATTCTCCGCGCCCGATCCACCATGGGCTCTGAACTGAGGTCGCATACCAGTAACGAACGCGAACAGGTTACGGACGGAGGTGACAAGAGTGTCCATGTTCAGGTCTACATGGTAGCTAGATTCATTTTCAGTCGAGCGTTTCCAGGAATGTAGTGTTCGCATACCTTCCAATCGCTTCTGAGAGGTCCTTGGCCCTCTTTCTCGTTTCTGGGCTAGAGTTCTCAGTGCCCATGTAACACGTGTGGAAGATCTTGTTGCAGAACTCGTGCGGATCCAAAGGAATATAAACCGAGTCTTCCGGCTCTCCGACCATTCGTCTTGCATCAGCAATGACTTGCTTGTCTGATTAAAGTGATCATGTTGGCCAAAACACCAAATCTAGCAGATGGATGACAGTACCTCCCTTGCGTGCAGCCTCAACCACGAGACGGCACATGGAATATACTATCACGGCTGTGGCACAGGAATCGATACCTCCGCTGAGAGGGACAAAGTATCCCTGTGTGCGGGAGCGCCTGAGGTAGTCCCAGAGCCAGCAAGCTGGACCAAGTCTGTGGAGAGCATCAACATCAGAATTTGCTCATGAGTAGCAGGCCTACGCTATCTCTTCCTCTGGAGTATGAAACCTTGCTCCAGAAAGTTTGGCCTGGATACCCAGGGTCATCGCCCCATCTGTATCGCCAAACTTTCCACTTGAAAGCGCAAACGGCACTTCAATCCGATGAAACACCTCAGAACTGGCAGCCTGGAGCCCGCGGCTACGGGATGTGCGATGTGAGCGCACGTCCTCGATGTCGATCGTAGCTGTGACGACTTCAACATCATTCAAGGAGAACTGAGAACCTTGGGCGACAATGTGGCCATTCATGGCGATCATGGCACAACCATCATAATACAGCCGATCGCCGTCGCAGCCTTGTTGGTTTGCATAAAGATAGACGCCACCAAGCTGGAAGGCGAGTTAGCTGGTAGAATCCATACTAGGGTATGTCTGTTACCTTGAGCGTCGCTTCCTTGATTAGCTCAACGCGGGTGTAAAGTTTTCGTAACTCATGGTGGCTCCCACTGGAATTAGTGAATATTTCGACGCCGTCGAGTCCCATTAAAATATGCGGACTTGAAGGAGAGTATGAATGGGCGTGCTCAGGTAAGATAAGACACATACCTTGCTGGCGTGAAGAGTTCTTCACAGAGCTCGACACCTATGCAGGTGTCCACCGTGCTTATAACACAGTCTCCAAAAGGTACTTTGACCTGGAAAGGAAGAGTTGCACATGACTGAGGTTGAAGGAAATCAATTACAAACCTGGTTCGTGACGGTTTGAATAATCCTTGGGAGGAAATGATCTTCCCATTGTCGATGCTTCATCCAAGGAGTAAAGTACCGCATTTCGCGGTAGTTGCCATCGTTGGCGAGCCACATCTTAGGGCGAATAAGCAGGACCTGCCTGTCGTGTACAATGACACGGCAGTTGTAAATCACATTCTTGTGTACCACGGGCCTATGATATTTTGAATGAAGTCTATAGAATAGGCAGATGATGGTTTCAACGTACATTCCAATATCACAGACAATTCCCATGGTATCGTCGCTGGACAAGATCTTGGCCAGTACCTCCCAGGAATGGAGGATGGTGTCCCCTGTGCTAGGTTATTAGGGATGCTACGTTTATATGTATGTTGGTACCTTCAAGGAAATGGTCGTAGCAGCCATATCCACTGTGTTGTGAAGGATCTTAATTACATGCGCTATCACGGTGGATGAATACTGACGGAATTTCCAGCTCTGGTCCGACTCTCAGGGTAGCACCGCGCTCCTTTGCGATCGCGATGCTCCGGATAATACGTTCATAGTTTCCCTAATACGTGTTTAATGATACGTGATGAAAGTATAACGAAGAACATTACCTGAAAATCTAATGCCCACTGGTTCAAAGAACTTTCTAGCGCTTTAGTAGATGCTAGTTGAAATCGAGATCGCTACAACGCACCATCTGTAAAGATATGGGTAAATATAAAGATACGGCAGACATGGTACTCACGTAGCCAACGTTATTAGGTGCCCCATGGATGGAGGTCTCTAGACTCTAGTTACAGAGCGTGCGCGTTCATATCGCGCTGGCCAGCACCCCGGGCCGGTTTCTCCCGTACTACTACTTATCTTATCTCTATCATCATGTGATATTCTCGGCCAGGGGAGGTACTAGTGAATTCCAACCTGCATCGCGACGAAACGATTGACTCGATACGTACGCGTGTTACCTGTCCCAGAGGATTAACGTTATTGACCTCCGAGACTTTTCTTTCCTTATTCGCATCTCTTATCGCTTCTTGTCACCTTCGGTATCACTATCACCAGTGGCTTCTTTCCTTCTTGACATTTGGTACTTAATGTTTTGCTCGTGCGTAGTAACTAGGCCTCAGTAAGTAGTAATTGCACACAAGTTTAGCGTGTTGTGCGAACTTCGCCCAGAGGAGACTCCGAGAGTCAGTCGACAGACAACTTCAACATCCTTTCGAAGCCGAACATGAAATATAATACGCTGAACAACTTGGCGTCACGCTTGACATAGCTGCGAAGGAAGCTGTGAAGTTAAGTGAGGCCGAACTTAAGGCACAAATGAGTGCCCACCTCCAGGATGTTTGGACGAAGATACAAGGTGTGTAAGGCAAGATAGATGCGATGAGACCGGCGTAGGGCTTTGTTGCATTATCCTTACATTGGGTGGCTCAATTTGCTACTGGACATGGAATGTATGTCGAACTTGAAACTATAGCCGCCGTATGACTCCAGATATAAATAGTCTCTAGACTAGACGCTCTGTATCAGGGGCAGATGAAGGTGGCTCATATTGATTATTCTTTGAAAAGTTAAAATGCATACTACAATGTTTCTAGGGACATGACGTCCATCATGTCGTGAACAGAAGCCATGTCCTTGACTTGGGCAATGATATCATAATAAGCTGAAGCGATTCCGAGTCTCTTCTATTCGCTAGCAAATGGTCGTCCAAGGCGAGCCACCAATCGCAAAGCTTGCACCCGGTAAGAGTGGTCGAATATGGCAATAGTTTATCGACCTAGAACCGCCAGAGGCGGACATGCCTGTCACCAGATGCGGAGGCGGCAAGCGTGCCAGCAAGATTCACGGCAATCGCGTTGATCTGGTCAGTATGACAGCTTGACTCCAGCATAAGTTCTCTTGCAACGAATGGATAATCATGTGAAATGTCCGTATTAACACAGCCTGTAATTATGTTAGATGTTCGTATCAACAAAATCGTCAGAACAAAATAGCTATCGATGCAGAAGCCAGCCAGAAACAGAGCAATATACTCAAAGGACTACTTGGCACGCCACCTGACACATCACTTGATACAGCACCAGTGTTTGTGGCAAACGTCACAGCGCCGATTGTCGGGGATGGTACAGCACCTTTGATACCATCCTGAGCGATAGCAGTCTCTGACAGCGCAGCAAAACCAACTGAGGCGGGGCTGTACTTGAAGACAGAGTAAACGTTTTTCTGTGTATCAATCAGACGCTGTCCAGAGACCGTAGAATCAGTGATGGAAACTCACAAGGAATACGTGGCCAATAATCCATGAAGGACCCCCTTGGCCGATTGAGGATACGAAGAAAGCCCCAAGGCACTCCGTGGTGCTGACCTCGAAGAGCGTGAAGTCCACGGGGCTCATTGACCAATTGTTACCACCAAAGTTAAACTGTACAATCACCGTCGTGCTGCAGGCTAGGTTTGAAGTTGTCCTATCAGCTAACAAACTGCATGACAGCAATGACACTTACGAAAAGCGTAATATCCTTCGAATTGGCCCGTTCCTGCTTGTGATCCAGGGATCTGTGCGTAGATGCTCGCAATAGCACTGGCGGGGCCTGCAATGTTTATGGTTCCGGTGTCGATGATAGCAGTTGAGATCCCTGCGATATCGATGGACTTTCCCTGTACAGTCAATGCTAGGTTATCAAACACGTCAGCTAGCTGTCATGTATATTTTGAATTCTACTTACTGTTCATGTTAATCTCCCAGTATTGCGGTGTTCCAACAAGGTTATGGTATTCAATTGATCCCGTGTAGAGACTGCTGTTGGTGTAACCTGCCAAATGGTCACGTTAAACTGGAGAGCATAACGTGGGAGGAATATACCCACCCATGTCAATAACTCCTCCTGGCTCGCTTTGAGTTACATTATACACATTGTCATAGCTTACCAGCCACGAGTCAGAAAACATAGTGAAATCACTCAGTCTCCACATACCGTGTAAGCTGCACCCCGAATAACGCAGAATCCCAACTTCCACCGCTAGCCAGAGTTTGCCAGAAGGGCGTCTGTTTCGTGGAAGAAAGCGTACTCCAGGCAAGACCCATTACTCCTGATACAGGGTTCGTGGTGAAGGCCGACGAAGGAGCAATGACAACGCCTAACAAGTTCTATCACGTGTATGTAAAGTACTCAGTGTACATGACAACGTACCAAAGCCTTGTTTTGCCACCGAAAAACCAGCCATCTGAACAGTCTCCTCAGCAACATAACCAGCCAATGCAGCAGAGCCATATTTCTCAAACGGTGTCGAGAGATTCTGGAAAGTGGACGATTTCGCAGGATCGTATGTAGGGCTGGCTCCGCATCCGCAAGCAGAACCAGTCAGCCAGAGATCGCTGGAGAAACTTGTTCTAAGCGATCTGCGCCGAGAAATTCACTATCGCACTCACGATGAACCGGTGTCAAGAATCACATCATAGGACACTGGCGGCGTCCCAATTGCTATGCTTCCATAGTAGCTATTGAAAATGTCTGATTAGTAAAAGCGTGCTGGATAACAGAGCTTTCTTCTGCGCACGCTGCATCAGCTGCCTGATTGACGATGCTATACGTGTGGCGTTGAGGATAAAACACTTGGGACATGAAAGACTTTACATACAGGTTATACCCAGTACCCCTCTGCTGAAGCGACTGGCCACCGTACTTCACAACAAGCACATCTCTTTGGTCTTTTGCTTGCTGAGCCACCAGTGTGAGGTTCTGTGAAGAAGGGTTAAGCCTGCGGATAGGCATGCTCCGCCCAACGACAGCCGTTGATGTTGTTGGTGTTCCCGATGCATCCTGGGATAGCAGAAGGAACAAAAGGGTCGTGAGGCTAGCTGAAGCAAACATAACGCTCTAGAAAGCAAATTTACATATCGATTAAAAGGACAGACTGCCTGCAGTCTGGGGAAAAAAAGAAGTATTAATGACTCGAGCCTGCGAGTTGATAGCGGAAGAAAAAAGGATGCGAAGTCCGCAGCTCCCTTTTGAGCGTTATAACAAGTTTCATGCTCCAATAAGTACTGCACGCATGAGCGATCCACAGGTTCGGTTGCTCTGAGAACAGCCACGAGCAAAAATAGTCGTAATGGAGAGCCCAGTTGTCGTGAACATCTAGTCGTGAATCCTGGTTTTGCGGCTGGGCAACTGTCTGACGGTGCACTCGGAGTCAGCACAAAAGACCAAAGACGGCCCTCACGAGGATTGAATCCGACCTTGACTACTTCAATTTTTCAGTGTCTCTGTCACCAGTCAATGACTGGGCAAGACTGACCCTGACTCACGCTGAGCCCATCATCACATCATGGCAGTGAGTGTGAAGAATTTCAAGCTGTCAACATGATGACAAGGAACGAAAGTACTAGTATGGTCTAGGCTCGATATATACCAGCCTGGCTTATATAACCACGGACAAGTCGAGTGTGACTACGTCCACTCTCAAAGGACGTACGTCAGACTGGTCACGAGTCTTATGGTCCACATCGAACAAAACAGTTAAGGCGCGTTGGGCCACCAAGCTCGGAGAAGCCAGAGTGGCAGAGCGCAAGGGAAAGATATCCATGGCATGGCAGCTCAACTCAGTCATTCTTTCGTAATATGCAACAAGAAAGATGAAGTTGGGACAGTACTGTGAGCTACGCCATCTCACCAATCGAGGACTCCACACAGCGTTTTTATATCTGACTCGGAAGTTCTTGTCATGTTGCCCCCGGGGCCCGAATAAAGACGGACTTTGCTCTTTTATCCCAGCAGAAGCCAGGAGTTCGAGACCCCACCACCGTAGTGAAGGACGAGAATCTTACTCGAGACGAGTTCAACGAAGCAACGCTGTGCATAATTGTTGCGATGAAAGTTTATGACTGGCCGCGTCGACATGCACATCGGGTTCTGGTCTGCACTGCAAAATCATCGTTGGCGCCTTGCAACTTGCGGCCTTAAGCAGCATACACTATTGCCATACCAAGTGCAACAAGGGCACAAGTGGCACTTCTACGACAATACTCCTCATGGACGGAGCCTAGCGCAAATCAACCAGGAGGTTCTTTACTGAGTCAGAGACGAATTATTCGATGAACAGTTGGTTTCGATCACGCTACAGGTGCGTTCATGACTTCAGTTCACTAGAACTGATGAATTGATTAGTATATGTACACTTCTTGCCCTTCAAATCATTTCCCCCAACCCCCTCTCCACGTTCGATGATATCTGTGCCTGTGCTCTATCGGACATCACATCCCTAAACTTGTGTGCTACCGCATACCTCGCACATCTTTCGGTTATCGGCGGTCGTAGCAGGTAGCAGCAATCACTGGCTCGGGTTCACTGGGTGCATCACAGTCGCGGTCGGTCAGCGCCCGGAAGCGTTAGCATCGCCGACAGGAGAGACGGGCGGTCAGTGCCAACAAGAGGGCTCGCACTGTCTTCCTATGTTGTACGGTCTGCCTTGGGCAGTTCCCTCACCGAGTTGTTGAATGTTCAATATCTCCCATGCATGGGACAAGCGGCACGAAACTGTCGCAGAGCGTATCAACAAAGCACTCTGGTCCAAAGATGGCAAACTACTGCTGTACCGGAAGGAAGCGCCATTCCCGGCACATCCGCTCAGGGTGTGGTTCAATCAGCCATGGAGCCCAGCAATGCCCTTGTGAGTTGGTTCCTCGAAGAGCAGAAGTGTGGGAAAACGGCAACGGTACGTGTTATGGATCGTCGCGGCTGAGCGCTGAGCCACGCCTTGAAGATCGCTGTCAGCGTCGACCTGGAATTGGCATACGTCATATTGACGACTTATGTGCTAGGTCCCGGATCATAAAGTTGAACAAGAGAGTAACAGCGGTAAATAATAACGGACTTGTGTAGTATCAGATCTCAAGTGCTCAAGGCATTAATTAGTAGAAGTTGCTATCTTATCTTATCTCTTATCATCATGTGATCACGAGGACCCAACCTTCTCCAGTGAAGCAACCAACTCAATATGCATCGCGGCGTTGGTCTCGCTGCTTTTGACAAAGAACAACTATCACAGCGTTTTGCAGAACTATCTTCAGAGCTCTCGAAAACCCAGGTCGATAATCTACAGTCGCAACTAACACAATTCCGAACTGCCCTTTCGCACTTCGCAACGACACACAGAGATTCGATTCGTAGCGATCCAGCGTTTCGTCATGCATTTCAGCAAATGTGCTCGTCAATCGGCGTGGACCCGCTCGCTGGACCAAGGAAGGGCGGCTGGTGGGCAGAAATGCTTGGGATGGGTGATTGGCAGTATGAGCTGGGAGTTCAGATAGTGGACGTGTGCGTGAGCACGAGGGAGAGGAACGGGGGCGTGATAGAAATGGGGGAGCTCGTACGTATGGTCAGCAAGCTGCGTGGTGTCGAGAGTGGCGTCGTTACAGAGGAAGATGTCACAAAAAGCATCAAGACACTCCAACCGCTCGGCGCTGGATACGAGGTGCTTGACGTTGGTGGTGGAAAGAAGATGGTAAGAAGCGTGGTCAAGGAACTAGATGCAGATCAGGCTGTCATTATTGCGGAAGCACAAGTAGAAGGAGGGCGGATCGTTGAAGCAATCCTGGAGAACCGTCGAGGATGGCCAAGAGAACGTGCTCGAGCTGCTCTGGAGAATATGCTTCTTCGAGATGGCCTTTGTTGGCTCGATTCTCAAGACGAGCACTACGGGCGAGCCTATTGGGTTCCGTCTGCCATGCGTTGGGACGAGTAGTTCTGTTACTTACCAAGGTGCGTGCTATGATTATCCAGTTAACATTGACACTCAGATCGACCTGAAGGGACAGGTAGTTCAATTACAATTGAGTCGGTCAACCCCTCAGAGGCTCAACTATCAATATCCGTAAGTACTACCGCCTCCATCGAAAGGACGCGGAGTATCTTCGGTGTAGAAACACCCACTCGTGACTTGAAGCGTTTCACATGGTGTTGGATGACGTGGACTACATATGCAACAGTCGAAACGAAGACGAGACAGGGGGCATACATATCATAGATATCCTTCGCAATGATATAATACTGCGCTCAATGTTTTCATCACCTCATTTTCCGAGTGGCTTTATAACTGGTTTCGACGCTTTCCCGCATCACGTTTTTGTTTTTCTGTCATGGGTACTGACTCTCCTGCAATTCTGATTATGTGGAGTATATGGGGTTTGGCATAATTCTGAACATTGTTGGGACGCACCTGCCCATTATTTGTGAAGGCGTAAATATTTCCCCACTCCGAGATCACCTCTCTGATACCCCCAGCAAACATCCAACTACCTTATTCTCCATGTCAAACACGGTTACCCTCGACGCATCACTGTCTCCACCTGCCGCTCGTGCCGCAAGCTTGCGCGTCGTTGCAACTGTTGTGGGTGGTGAAACAACTATCACATAGTTAAGGTGGGTGTGGATCGACGACTTGTAGCCTGTGAAAGAACATCACTTCCCAGTACCTAGATTCGTACTAATCCACCTACCCTCATATGCATATGGCGGCTCTCTCCCCTGTAAACCATACGCATATACTGCTTCGTCTTTCGCAAGCACGATCTTCTCGGCGCGCCAATCCATCACCGCACATCCCAGTCCACATCCAATATCATCTGGCAACACGCTAGATCCTCCAGTCCCTTTTCCGGACACATGGTACAAGTATACCGAGTTTGTAGTCACAATGAAAAGATGCAAGTTGTTGTCCTTAGCATCGGCATTAGTGGGACTCGGAAGAAATCGAGGCCTGTGATAGGTTCAGGGGATGATTTATGAATGGTGCGTGTCTTAGGGAGTGCAGTCAGGGACGCTGCGGGAGCAAGTGACTGGTCCAAGTACCTGTAAAGTAGCACCGTCCCGTCGGCCAATCCGATGGCAAGGAAATATAGCGCAGAAGAAAGTGCAAAGCAAGAGACCTAAATTACAAGCTCACCGAACGAAAGCAGAAGGTAGTGGACCACTCACCGGATGAGGCTTATTGTTAGGCTGGATCTTGGAAGATCTCAATAACACTAGCAGTTGGTTTCTCTGTTCCGTCTTCCTAAGATCCCAAATCTTCAGTAAACTACCCTGTACTGTATCCTCCTCCCCAATTGTCACCAACACACCCTTCCTCTCTGCCATGTGTATTACTCGTCCTCCCACATGTGCGACCCAACTCGTTGTCGATACGAACTCCTTGTTTAGAATGTGTACACTGCCGTGAATATCCGCAGTGAGCAGCCCAACATTGGAGGGGACGACAGTTGAGATTTCTGATGCGTTTTTGAAAATCTCGGGTGAGCTAGCAAGGTCGTGGACGTCCTTCACAGGGTGAACATCGAAAAATGCAAATTGGCGAAGCTGAGGGAGTCTTGTAACCGAGGGCGACTACGACAGTCTGACAGTGGCCAACATACCGCAGTAGCAGCTACACCAGTCGTATTTGCATGGAGCTTGCCACGAAAATTGATTGCTGCAGTCTGTGATGAAACAGCGCTGGAACCTATCCTTCTTCGAGTACCATGTGAGAGTGCTGAAATGATGTATTGCAGTCAGGAACAATGGGCGGTGACGTTACAACTATGTACACTATAGTAGGACTAAATACTGATGCGGCATCAATGTGCGTCATTCAATGTGGCGTTCTAGGAACGTTCACACGAGAGAAGTTGACTTTCGAGGGAGAATAGACTTAAGATTCGAACGAGGAATGAACTGTCCGAACTAAAATGTATTCGGGGGAGGGGGGGGGGGAAGGATCAACTGTCCTACCAGTAATTCTACGTAGCGTTTAAATACTGTAGGACTTGCTTATGGAATATGAAGGAAACTGATGGAAAGAAAAGGAGATGTTGCCTTGACAGTAGTCAAGGCTTTTGGCGAGCGCTACATTCAAGCTCAAGGCTGGTGTACCATATTATGCTCTGCATTCATTGCGAAAAATAGCTACGATCTGCGAGTCTATCGAGGAAACCTGTGTGGGAGTAGCAGGAGTGAGATATCGCAAACATTATATCGTACAGAACGAAAATACAACATACAAAATTGCCATGTCACAGCATCACGAGTTGCATAAGAGTCAAGAGCTTTCCTATGGCATTTTCAGTTGTCCTCGTACAAATATCAGGACTTCATTGGCTGAAGGCCTGTGGTCCGGCTCATCAAGCCAGCACTTTTGCATGAAATCCCATAGAGCATCCGCAATAGGCGGAGTCACTGGTCGAGCAGGCCTCCGGCCTCTAAGTATCTGCAGGGTAACTTGATGGTCACTTCGAAATTCGGAATACGGAACTTTTCCTGTAAAGACCTGCAAGGAGAATAATAATCACATTGCATGGTGTCAAGATCCGCTCACAAACCTGCAACATGATGCATCCGAAAGAATAGATGTCTGATGCCAATTGGGGCGAGCTTATTGACTCATCATCTTCCGGGACTTGAAAGTTTTCAGGTGCGGCCCATCGCACATTGCTTCTGATATAGGACGTGCCATGGAGCTCGGCACAAAAAATCAGAATTCCATGGTCAGCCACGAAGGCGTTGCCGTTCTCATCAATGAGAATGTTGTTCTGAGTCGCGTCAATAATTGCTTCGATGAAGAAGGTATCCGTGGTACTCACGCTGGTGAGATCACCGTGTACTATGTTTTTGGAGTGTACTGATATTCATATTAGCTTTGCGCCGAATACTGACGTTTCAATGTCCATACAATACTGGAGAGCTGAAGCAACATCTTTGAGCTGTAACAGCAAATACTAAGATGCAAGCCATACCACGAAAAAAACACCCACCATTTGGAACATGAGAGTGAGAGTAAGTTGCTGGAAATCATGTTCCAGAAGCATGGTGAGTGAGCCTTTGTGCATCCATGGGGAGACAATAGCAGGCAGCGGACCGAACCCTTGAGTTATTCCCAGAAAGGGTAACAGATTGGCGTGTTTCAGCCGAGTGTTCCGCTGCAAGTCATGTTCCAGCCTCTGAAGTGTCGTACATTAGCAAATAAACACGTGGCACCCGCGCGCAGAGCCACCCGAACCTCGATAATTTGTGTTTTGCAACTATCGTTCGGAATCTCAAGTCGCAAACACTTTACCGCAACCTGGTAGACAGAGAGACGGTCAGTCATGGGCGAATATTAACAGGTGAAAACTTGAAGGATTTGCTCGCCTCTACCGTGATTTCAGGGTGTTTGTGTATGCACTTCCAGACATCTCCAAAGCTGCCTTGCGCGACAGGGTATCGGGATGATTCCTTGCTTATTTGCTCAGTGAGGTCGAGCAGACTAATAATCCGTACGTAGATACTCAGCAAAAATTGCGTGAGATGCACAAAAAAACAAACTCATGATTCGCGTTCTTGTCATATATTTTTTGGACGTTCGCCTCTTGTGCCGACTTCGAACGAAGCCCAAGGCTGGCAAGTAGCAAGCGTAACCTCCACTTCTTCAGCCAGGCTTGAAATTGAGCGAGAACTTTTGAGACCTTCATGGATGATATCTAATGTGGGATGATATCGTGGGCAGTACAAAGCATTGTAAAACAGGGGATATGATTGTATATCATGAAGGATGTTGTGAGGCGGGCAATCTTTAGCATCGAGTACTCGAGGCGACGTACTGGGGTGTTTCAAGAGAAACATTTCTGAATATTGTCAATAAAAGCACACAGAAGGAGACCGAAAGACATACACACAAGTTTTTGATGATGAATATAAGTATATTAACAACTTGTACGACATCATCGATGCATCATCTACAGTTGTATCTCAACTGTACAGTTTCTTTCGAAAGGGTTCCCACGCATCGAGGTATAGGTTAGGCTCGTGACCAGCCTGGCGTATACTACCACGGATACTCGAGTGGTGCAGCCAACGCGCCAGTTCGACAATTCGATAGAATTTCCGAAGGTATCCAATCAGCTTTTCCTTCTTATCACCAGCATACAGAGTCCTCCTAATCAAGTTGTCAATACCACTATGAAGAAGATATACAGCTCCTTTTCCCCCTTGATCGTCCAATACTTCCAATCCTGGAAAAATATGAACTGCTATGGTGCGCGTCACTTAGACACCACCAATTGTGTGCTAAAGTCCTACCGTCTTGAAAAAACGTCAGAATTTTAATTCCTCTTACAAAAATGTTCCTTTTGATGAGACGAACAAAACTGTAAGAGCGATTTTCAATCTGGTCAAATTTGACGGAGATAAAAATTTCGTCGGCAGTCAGATTGGCCACTTGTTATCTACCCTACTGACAGTCAATCAAAAAGTTGTGCTACAGTCTCCGGAACTCGTCGGTGGGACTTGTACTTGGTTGAACTGAACTGCTGGACCTTCAGCTGTGCATAGCATCAACGACGGGGCTATGCTCTGCTTGTGAACGAGACGGAGAAGTGGGCTTATTGGGCCAACGAGCTGCACGAGCCTGAGTAGCTTTGATATTGTTGTTTCTTTTGGTCATTGTACCAGTGAAATGTGGATTTGAAAGGGCCAGTCACTCCGTGCCATACGCAAAGCATATTTTGTACTTAGGTTGAATCCTACGACAACAATATCGAAGCAGATTCTCCATCCTCCGCGTCGACTTTGGCAGCGGCTTGTAGGGTAGGGTTAGGGTTAGGTTTACAAACTTCGAGTCAATTTGGCCTCTGCACACAATTGGTGGTGCCTAAGTGACGCGCACCATAGCAGCTTCCTGTGCACAAATGGCGTGGTATCTGCTCACACGCTGAACGCTGAGCTCATTAAAATTCCTTATGGTGATAAAACTTTGAATTCCGGAGTGCTGTACGTTTTGTGGATCGTCGTGGCTGAGCCGCGCCTTGAAGATCGTTGTCAGTGTCGACCTGGAATTCGCATACGTCATATTGACAACATGTGGGCTAGGGCCCGGATCATAAAATTGAATTCTAGTATCATCACCTCCGGAAAGATACAGACTTCAATGAGCCGGAGGCTAAGCTTGAAGCTCTTTTGGCAACAACCTTCCACCCCCTCGACCTGACGACAGATACACTTGCCCTCAAAAAGGCGATCAGGCAGCTGCTCAAAGGCGCATACCATCAACTGAGTGGGCTCTGCATCGATCATCAACCTGCGTTTTGTTTCCACCACGTTATGCGGTGTGCATGTGATCATGGTTTGCTGCAGGTACAGTAGTACTCGGCGGTAGTAAACTCTTGGTCCTCTGTGTCACTGAACCCTACCACCTCTAAAGATGACGGAATTTACTCGATAGAGCATTGACCAATCATACTCACAAAGGTATAACGTAGGGCTGTATATCAAGCGCGGTGTGGGTATCACAACCTGGCAGGCACATATAAGAAAAGTGCTCAGCCAGTATAAGTGAGTCTCAGCTCTGCCTAGCTGCTATACTCGCAGAATGCAAGAATGTTCGACCCTAAAGGGGAAGCAAGGAAAGCAAGGATCCACGGAATGATGCTGAACAACCCTGGTGAATGGCGGTGAAAGCGCGAGAAATGCGCTGAAGGCACGCGCGGGAAAGTGAAGTGCGAAGGTGCGCGGAGCGCGGGAAGGTAGTGCAAGCAGTGCACAAGTGTAGAAGACGGATACTGGGACTGATAAGAGGGAAAGTGCGGATCTAGATGGATACTGATAGTGCCCACTAGCTATAGACTGATGCTAGGGCCTCAAAATGATGATGGACACATGCATTGCATGGAACTAACTGATGATAGATACTGAGTGGTAGGAAGGTAAGGTGGAATAGTTTTTGGGTGTAAAACGAACATGAGTGTATGTAAGTTCTACCTAAGCGCTCTCCCAGGGCTCGGAGCCGAATAGGGAGCGCTCTAAGTATGTAAATGAGGTAAGGTGATGTAAAGTAAGGGTGCATAACAAAATGGGAAGTGTAATATGCTAAATATGGTCAGATAACGAAAAGGGACATACCGAGGGACTGGTTGGATGATGGATGGATGCTCCTGGATGCTGTGCGACATAGTGCGCTTAAGCGCGAGAAAGCGCGCAAGGCGCGCACGCGGGAATACTGCGCGTTGTGCGGGAAAGTGTCGCGCCTATGGCGCGTTCCGCGGGAAAGTGGTGCGCTCTATAGGGAATGACTAGAGGGTGATGGTGCGAGTTGTGCCGTGAAGGCCAGTCATCAGAATTTGTAATATGAGCCCATATGAGCCTGCAGAAACGCGAGTCTCTACAGCGGATTCAACATTGGGCAACCATCAACATCTTCCGACCTCAGGCAATTGCTTCTTAAAAGCAGCTACTCCACCTATTACCGAGATTGCAAAGCAGAGTCATCCACCCTGCTGTCTGCATTGACGCGTTGCAATGATATGTGAGTCCGAGAAGGCGGCGCGATGCTTGAGGTACAATTTTACAGGCCTGCCTGTATCCTAACCATGCACACTCATGCACATCTATAACAATTTCCACGAGAACCTCCGTGATTTTGACTTAGTTCATGCGTCTACCTTGCAATATTGAATTGATCTCTTTTGGCATATCTTATTGGCGTTATCGATCCATGTGCAAAAATAATCCCTTTTCACTTGCACGCACTATCAACATCAAGCGTGTCTTCCGAAGAGTGTATCATGTAAAGAAAATTGGATTCAGATACTACAATACAAACTGTCGATATCTAATACTCGTCGTCGTACATATATGAAAATATGGAAACATTGTCAAGAGATAAATCATACATGGAAAAAATGATTCCATACTGTAAAAGAAACAAGGAGAAACACGTCTACAAGTCACAAAAGAAATGAGCAGTCCAATGTCTGTCGAGTACATATCGATAAAAGGAAGATGCGTCCATAAGTCACAGGCAGTCCATTGTCTGCCAAGTACATACTGATAAGAGAAATACAAAGAAAAAGAAACAAATCGAGAGGCATTTACAAGATGACAAAGAAAAGAGAGGGGACTTAGGATAGATCGTCACATATGCGAGCCACAGATGGTTGCCTTCAACTCCAAGTCATAGGGGACAGGAAGGAGGCCGTTGCATTTGCGGTTGTGTCGGTGAGGCGATCTCAACCTGGCTGGGCTGATATGAAATATCTAAAATGCTCAACCAGTATAAGTGAGTCTTGGCTCTGCCTAGCTGCTATACTCGCAGAATGCAAGAACGTTTGACCCTAAAGGGGACTGCTACTGAACACAGAACCAGATGAAAGAAAGACCCTTGAAGTGCGATGGATGCGTGAAAGCGCAAGAAGAAAAGCGAAGTGAGCGCGAAGCGCGAGAGAGCGCACTAAGGTAAGCGCGAGCGTGGGAACGTGAGCGCTAAGGCGCGCGTTGTGCGGAAAATACCGGATAAGGAAACGGATAAGGAAGCGGATGTGCAAAGCGAGTGCAAACGCAGAGCGAGTGTTATAACGAGCGCGGATAAAGGTCTAGTATAGGCGGATAACGATAACCATTGGAAACACAAAGTGCGCCCAAGTGGTGACTACTACTCTAAGGTAAAACCCAATAGCAAGGGAAGTACAGCAAAGGGGAGTAATAATGATGGTGTAGTAAGTCAGCAACTTTATACTATGGAAATCGCATCGGAAGCGGAAGGGATAGGAGCAATAAGCGCTATGAATATGTAATGACATGTAATAACGCTGCAATGCTTGTTACAAACCACGAGGCAAGGCATATGACGTACCAATGAGGTGGGTGGACATAGAGGGACGTTCCTGGATGATAGGCGATGCAGGGCGCTTAAGCGCGAGAAAGCGCGCAAGGTGCGCGTGTGGGAATGCTGCGCGTTGTGTGGGAAAGTACCGCGCCTATGGCGCGTTTCGCGGGAAAGCTGCGCGTTATGTGTAAAACGACTAGGGACATGATAGAAGTCGAATATAGCTGATGGTGCGAGTTGTGCATTGAAGGCCAATTGTCATGAGTTGTGAAAAGGTGTGAAATGTGCCTATATGTGCCTGCAGAAACGCGAGTCTCTACATCGGGATTCAGTTGTAGGGGACATCCGACATCGAAGACTGCAGAGATAGGCTAGGCAGCGCGAAGAGATAGTTTGTGCGCAGCCAGTGGTTGCCTTCAACCTCGTGGGCAGTGAAGCTCCAGGTCGTAGGGGACAGCGAGGGAGGCCGTTGCGAGTCTTCGGGATTTGGTCGTAGGGGACCTTAGGAGTAGCGTTGTGCGTGAAGATGTCAGTCTTGAACAATTTCGATCGAGGTTCCCGGGTTGGGCGTCGTCAGGTGTAGAAGCGGTGGTCCAGGTGACAACATAGAGGTGAGTCCAAGCTGCGCCATGGCAGCTGCCCAACCGTCAACAAGAGCGGCTTGGTCGACAAGGAGCTCGTTATGGAGTTGTTCAAGGTGATCTATATGAAATCAACAAGTGGAGCGAAGTTCGAACGTCAGCGGAAATCACTCACTGATCATAGTAATGTGTTCCAGTTGCTTAGTGTGAGTACGCTTGATGCTGTCACGGACAGCGGCCAAGCGAGCCAATCTAGATTTGTGCTAACAAATGACGATGAGTGCGGTACTTGGTTTTGCAAGGAGAATGCACATACTTTGTCTCTGCCCGGGTGGAAATTCTGATGCCGTTTCATATCCGGGGGTTTCAGCCAGGGGATGACAATCTGAGGCAGGATGCTGCCGAGAGAGAGCCCCGTGGTCGTTTGAGCTGAAGCATCCATGAGACTGAGCGAAACGTCGGTGGCTGCAGATGTCGTCTGGCGTCCGTCCTTGAGGATCATTGACTGGAGCTGCGTCCGCTGAGAGGGTCCACTCGAGCCATCAATCGTGAGTGCTTTCATGCCCAGGAGTAGGTCGCCACTGGAACAGTCGCTGTCGTCCTATAAAGATTCAAACATTAAGCGATAAAGTTGATTAGACTGTGCGACTTCATACCTTGGAGAGAGTGCTTTCCTGAAGATCCGCAGCCGAGAAGTCCTTCATGAAATTGTCATCGTGGTCGATGAGGGTGGTGTCAGAACCGTTTGAGAGGCGCTTGGCATTCCAAGTTGACAGCAATGGTGTGCATAGTGTACATGTAGATGGTGAAGTGCAGGAGTCAAGATTCGATGAAATTGATGCTGATAGAGAAATGCCACAAGATTCGGTTGCAATTGGATTCGATGAAATTGATTCTGTTGCAGTAGAGAAATCAGATATTTTGTTGCAGATGAGAGGTACGTCGAGTTCGGCCAAATTATGCTTCGGAGGGAATTGGGTATCTTTACTGAGGAGTATCTGGGTGGTCTTGTGGGAAACTAGAGCTAAGACCACGACAGAAATGCAGAGTTCGGATATGACGAGGCCAGTGGTAACATTCTCCGCTTCTTTGACAGCCTTGGACGTGTGATCCACCACAGTTTCCTTGAAAAAGAATGCCCCGAGGCACCCAGCGACGGTGACATGGGCAGCACCGTCGAAGATAGCGGAAATCATATTGTAAGACAAGTTGAAGTTGGTGAGTAAAGAATAAGTCGTAAAGAAATGCACGTACATAGAGGACGGGAAATGGGAGGGATATCTGGTGGGCTCAGTGTATTTATACGACATGACCTAGGTAATATTTTGGCACTGCCATGAATAAACGGACTCGATCGCGACGTGTCTAGTCACGTGCTTTCAAAATCAGTTTATGTCAGCTCCAAGTCAGCAGAACATGCCCTAAAGCCGCACTTTGCAACGCGTCCCACTTGCTCTCTTATCAGGAACCTCCTCATTGTCTAGATCTTCACAAGTAGAAACCCTTCTTGAACTTCTTTTTTAATTATCCGATCAGCTCACCGTGTCATACTATGTCAGGCTGGCTCCAACTGGTTTCTGCCCTTCAACTCTGATCTCCGGATCCGGGTGTCAATGGCCAACTTCGACCAGGAATGATGATCTGCCTGTCATGGCAGTTGTTGGCAGCCAGTAAGCCCATAATATGAGGATCATACCAAGGAAAATCCCTATCGTGCTTCAACATGTGGCTGGCTCATGTAAGTAGAAAGGAGTCCGTGCGGCGTGGAGTCTAATTTCCATACCTTAATCTTTGCATGCCTCATGATCACAAGGTTCTGGGGCGTTGGGCATTTTAATTTCGAGCTCCCCTTTTGTATTTACTATTAACCCTTCTTTAAAGCCAACAAAACTAGAAATATTCTCAACTTATCCGGATTTCATTAGTCCAAGTTTGTCACCTGGCCAAGCTTCTGATAGGTCTGGGCCTGTGATGTCAATGCCTTCAGATTTAAGCTCTAAGTTCAGAGGGCATGTATGTTTGAGGGAGCTTGCCTTTGTACTACCACAACCATTCAAGTGCTTGAGCTCAAGCTTTAACTCCTTCTCAATTTCTTCGTGTTTTACTATGAAAACTTGCTCTTCCAGTTCCACACACATGTTGGAACTGTTTTCAACCAATCAATTGGCTGATGAAACAGGCCTCAGAGCTGCTTTGTGTCACTTAGATGCTGTAGAAGGTCACAGCGGATTACAACCTGCAATTGAGCATCTACTCTCTCTCCCTCATGTTTTTGCATATATTGTCTCAGGTATCTCGCAGACTTTGTTTCCATCACATCAACTAACTTCCTGAATAGTTTGGGATTGCTCTGCAGAAATGATCTCACAAATAATGGTTGATTTTCCTACAGATGCACAAGAGTACTACTCATCCCCTGCGCGCAAGATACTGGACAATGTGTCCGTTCACACTCTAGCCCTGCCAATTGAGTCTTTGACGAGGGAGGTCACAAAGGACATTGGTCGCTACTGAGCCTTCATTGAGGACGCACAGCCCGTGCTTTGTGCATTGAGCACCATGAAATTTGCTGATGTAAAGAGCAATCCAAATTCCTTCGGAGTTGAACCTAATGACAGATCCATCAACATGCAAGCGTCCCGAAGCCATGTGCAAGCATGACTGCCAGAATGCTTGTGTAAGTATCAATGCATCACTCTTCACCAAGCTTGGCATGGCTGTGCCTCCCACAAGCGAGGCGGCCACATTGTTGTCTACCTACATCCTTGCAGAGCTGAAAAAAATTCTCTCGGTGCGTATCCTCATGATGTACTTTTCTACGTTCCCTGACAGCTCCCCCAAGTTTTACCTCTCGCTTCTGCGGAGAACGGAATTAGCGGGCGACCTCAAAGCCTTACTCTTCTCCAATGTGGAGGAGTCTGCCAAAGATGTTGCGCCTGAAGTTTCATTACTCAAAGACACCGAGAGCTCAACAGAACAAAGTGCGTATCCAATGGTACAGCCCATGAAGGCTGCTCTTTACTTCGACAATGCGAACAGATTCGGCGAGTGGCGAATCTTGATATCTACCGAGGCACATAACATCTACTCGCTCACCGTCAAGCGGACAAAAAAATATTCAAGATTATCTACAAGAAGATCAAGTCCGTCTTTTGATGACATTTATATCACTGATCTTATAATTACCACAGACATCTCTCGCATGGTCAATTCTCAACCAACAATCACATGAGACTCAATGGATCGGATGCAGGCATTCCTGTCTTTGAAGCCAAGATGACCAAGGATCTACGGCTAGTGGTAGATGTGATTTCCCAGAAACTCAGGGCAGGAGATAACCTGTTTTTATCACAGTACCAGATTGATTGTGTCCCAGACTTGAATGGAGAGGTATGTGATTCTTCCATCAAAGACCAGCACGTGATGCTGAGATCGATTCTTGATAGTTCGAGAGACAAGGTATGCCATAATGCATAACGAATGACCACCTATCTTCATCAACACTCACAGTGAAGACAAGTCATCAAAGTATATGGAATCTATAGAAACTCCGAGCTCAGCGGAATATGGAATGCCTTGGGCAACCATCTAGCATGCAGGGGTGTGGAATGTCGCAGACGGTTGAGCATACCTGTCATCTATTATGCGACATACTGAGTAATCGCTCTATCAGATGCATATTTTGCACCAAACCAGCTGGCAACATTATTCTGCCAGCCTCATTCGCGTCGACGGAACCCGAGCCAGAGATTCTGGCAAGTCCACTGGGCCTTAGTGCTGAAGACATGGAGCATGTTGAGTGTTACATCCTTCGATCGCACAGTGATTGATCTGTGTTGCAGCTTTGATCTTTGCTCGTGTATGGATAATTATTTTGCAATTTGATGCTTGATGATTGATGATTTTCTAGCCTGAAGAAATATGTTACATTCTCACAAGTATGTCTATCTGTATAGCTTTTCGATAAGGAGTGACTTGATAATGTTTCCTCAGGCATTTTTACATGGTGAGTAACCTTGTACTTGGTGATCCACATCGCCTCATTCTTGCAAAAGGTCTCATCACAAACCAAGATATACACCACGCCTTCATGCCCTCGTATGTCCTACTGCTTTGAAATGAGTTTAGTGATTGACATTGCTTCAGTCCTCAAGAACACGAGGTCATTGAATGCACTACGTCGTGCTATGTTGTGGGTCGCAGTGGCACAGGGTAAGTAACCTTGTGCTCGACATTACTCACGTATCTATTTCTTGGGCTACTAGAAAAACAACGACAATGCTGTTCAAGATTCATGTATCCCACAGACCGTCTTAAACCTCATTTTGTGTAGCTAGCAAAGATGATTGCAGCCGATATCTTCAACATGGACAATCCTGAGACAAGACGTAGTGCTGAGCTGTTCTTCAACACTAATGATGCAGAAGTGCATGACTCATTTATCACCTATGATGTATTTGAAAAGCAATATTGGCCGCATTTTCTGCAGGGTCTCACCAAGAACCTTAGTAATACTGCTTCCTTTCTGTCCTGAGGTGATACACTCACACGTTCTACCCAGATTCATGGTTGGTTTTCAGCGAGTTTATGGGCAAGTAAAAGTCCATATCCAACCAAGCAGTTTTTGAACTACCTTACAGGTATCATCAAAGGCTCCGAACAGGCGTTGGGCTCCCAGAATGGATTCCTCGACCGTCCAAGCTACCTTTGTCTTCCTAGTCATTCCAATCCGATCTTTGCAAACCAGAGAGACATACTCTATGATATATTCGAGATCTATAGGAAATTTGGGAAGCAGAAACACCACTTTGATGTAGCAGATCGGTACGGGCCAGTTTTCTCAAAACTTGTTGGACCCCACAATTAATTCCACACAGTACGCATGCGATACTCAAGGTCTTGCAAAAGCAAAAATTTCCTGGTCAACAGGTTGATTACCTGTATGTATATCTCCCGTCTGGCTAACACTAGATCCTGATCGGTTACACCAGGTATGTGGACGAGGCTCAAGACAATCTTTTGATTGATGCGATGAGTAAGTCATATTTCCCTTCTTCAATACAAGAGTGTGAAGGAACTTTCTGTTTCAGTTTTGAGGCGAACTGTGTAGGAATCCAGATGGTCTTTTCTGGGCTGGGGATACTGCACAGATGATCTCTGCCAGAAGTTCCTTCAGGTTCAACGATTTGAAAGCATTTGTATATCGTATGGAGGTGAGCGACCAGTGACTGTGTCCCAGAGTGTGATCTGATGTCTTCCTACAGTGCCACAGTAGCTCGGTAACCCTCACTGGAGCTTCTGTGCAGCAACCAATGATGTTCCAATTGGCCACTAACTACAGATCACACAAGGACATCGTGAACTGTGCTCATCTGTCATTGAGCTCATTACGAAGTTCTGGCCAGACACAATTGATCACCTCCAACCTGAAAAGGGGACGGATGATGGAATGGAGATGAAGCCAAAAATTTTCACGGAAATGGATATTGACACACTCTGCAAACGGTTTTTGGTCGACAAAAGGTAAGTAGACCACCTTAATCTTCACCATTCCCCTGCTGAGATTCTCGCAGTGCTAGTAACTCAGAGCTTGGAGCCCACCAGTGTAAAAGGTCCCTGCTTAAGGTCCTGTTCATGTTCTGAAAAGTTGTTCTATAGGCATACTTGTGTGTAACGAAGTAGTGGTCAAGAAGTTGCAAGAACAAGTAGGTGATATTGGAATGATTATGTGAGTTGTCTCACATTTATATGTCACGAATTCCAAATACAAACCATTATTCTTTCTTGAACACTCGTAAGACACCCGTTAAGCGCCCGTCACAAGCGCCTGTCGTTAGCGCTCAGTCAGCGTCTGTACCGATAACCTTCACAAACCCTAACCCGAATTCATCCTTTACATTTCCGAACTTCTCTATTCCATTAGCGCCCACTACCTTTATCTCCGACATCCCTAATTTCGACTTCCTTTCACAAGCGATTAAGTCACAGTGACTCTAGAACCTTCGAGAACCCTTGCACAGCTGTAACACATTTCATGACATCATAGGTGTAGTTATATTTAGATCATCGTACGATTCCCTTTTCTATTTAATGATTGGCTAGTTAGTTCAGATTCAGATTCAGTCTCCGCTTCAATATATGTATATAGGTAGCTCATTGTAGTCAGTAGTTCTTTAGTTCAAACCTCTTTTGTATTAGCTCACTGCTAGCAATCCTAAGACGTCCCTGCTCATATTCTCTTTTCTGTTGTGATACCTTTGTTTGAGTCCTAGTCTCTGCCCCTGCGTTAATTCGTTATAAGGGTTGTGACATTAGGTTTGAACTATAGGGGACTCCGACTCTACGCATTACCGCTTGCACACTTTATCCTTTGAAACTTTGTCCAGCCAAGCTTAGGCTCAATAAACATTCAAACGATCCGTTATCAACTTTTCACGTGTTCTTTAATTCTGACTTCTATAATCATAGAGTCAACGGTTAAACAACAAAACCATCTTATATTGCCCAGTCTAAACAACCGTGACCCTTGAATTTCAACCACTCTCCCCTTTGCTCATTTGAGCGCATTCATACCTATCCGCTTTCGTAGTTAGTAGTCCTATACCAGGCCCTGCCTTACATTGCAGCCGCCAGTATACGGAGGTGTTCACGACATTAGGTGTGTCACTGCAACTGTGAGTGCTGGCCCAAGACCCTGCCTACTCAACGTTACTATAACTTTCTTTTTTACCTATCACCTTATTCTTCGTACGATACGTAGGCTACTCTACCCAAGTTTAGAAGAGTTGTCTAGTGATAAGTCCCACGCACAGATCCTACCGAGGATTTAGAAATGCATCTAGTCGAGAACTGTCGCTTGTAAGCTTCGGCTGGAAGAGCGGACGTGTCCTTCTAGTGTGTTCCCTTGGGAAGTGTTGGCAAAGGCACCTAGTTTCTCTCACTTGGCGAGTATAGTTGTTACGTACACATCTTTGTAGTTAGTATCTAGGGAAGAGTCAGTTGGGTTTTACCAGGACCCTTTGACCCTGAAGTACTGAGGTAGATCTGATCAGATATCGGGGACCTGCTTCAGTTTTCCATTTACATACTCACTTTTCTCACCTTCCGTTTTCACCATCATTCCCTTATCGGATGAGCCGTTACTGACTAGCTCATCATTCATTCATTCCTTTTCGGGTAGACCGTTACGACTAGTCTACCACCAGTCATTTGTGAATCGGGTTCCAGAATACAGCTGGCACAATGACAAGAAGAACGTATTCCTTGCAAGAGTTCAATGCAATGGGAGAAGCGCTCAACAGGAAAACTGTTTGTATGTTACCGTTGTGGAAAAGCCAAACCATATTGCTGAAAAATTGCAGAACTCCGTCTCCACAGAGAGAGACAATCAGTACGAACTCATAAAATTCCCGCGAAAGAAGACACCCTTCCAAGTTGGTTCATAGAATCCCTTAACTCACTGGAGAAGTTAGAGGAGAAGCACCCAAATGGTTCAAGGATTTGGCCGCTTACACCACAAGGCAAAGAATTTTTGGCAAAAGAAAAGGCCGAAAGAAATCAACCGACCGAAAATGGTTTAGAGATTGGGTAGCTACTAGGAAAGAAGAAATCCTAGAAGAACCAGTAGAAGAAGACGTGTCTGGAAGCAGATATTCGATCTTATCAAACTTTGCGGATGTAGAAGAAATATACCTAAGATCAAAATCAGAACATTTCTACATTCCAATAACGCTGAAAGGAAAGAAGAAGACTGCGGACGTTAGAGCCCTTGTAGACTGTGGGGCATCTACTTTATTTATTAATAGGAAGTTTGTGTTGGACAATGACGTTCGGTGTCGTAAATTATTAAAACCTATTCCGGTTAAGAACATAGATGGTTCTTTAAACTGCCGCTGGATCGATGACTCATTTCGCCGAACTAGGTCTAAAGATCGGTGACCATGTAGAAGACAAAGCAGCCTTCATGGTTACAGACTTGGGAAGCGATGATGTTATTATCGGCATTGACTGGTTAAGATATCATAATCCAGAGATAGACTGGAATGCAGGACAGTTTTCGTTATCTAGGTGTCCGCTTAAATGTATTATGAAAAAAGGAGCAAAGACAAAAAAATAGAGAAAACTAGGAAAGCACAAAAACAGGCAGACGTAGTTCCAGGATCTGATTCCCACAGAAGAGGATGACGATGAGGATATGAACACGAGGAAGGCGACCTGTGAAGAGGTAGAAGACGAGGATAGTCCTGAAAGATGGATTAGATATAAAGCCTCGGTCGCCACGGAGCAGAAGGTAGCAGAAGAAGCTACAAAGAAGAAGTCTGTTGAAGAGATGGTTTCCAGACTGGCTTCACGATTACCTGGGAGTGTTCTCAGAAGAAGAGTCCAAAACAATTCCCTGAAAGAAAGAAATGGGATCATGCTGTGGATCTTAAGGATGACAATGATCTTCCTCCGAATGCGAAACCTTACCCCTTGTCACCAAAGGAGATGGACACTTTGAAAGATTGGTTAAAAGCCGAGACTGCACTAGGACGTATTAGAGATTCGCAATCTCCAGTTGCAGCACCTTTCTTCTTTGTGGCCAAAAAAGAT